GTGTTTCCTCTTCCACCTTGGCCTCTACCAGTACCTCTGTTCTGGTTGTTTGTATTGTAGTTTTGTTCATTTCTTGCCCCTCGGCCTCTACCATATGTCGAAGGGCCCCTTTGAAAGGGCTTGTTTTTGTGGAAATTTCGTTTGATTTTTTCCATCTCAATTTTTTCAGTGCTTTCATTTTTCAGAGCTTTATAAGTTTTCTTGTTTAACAACGTTGCATGTTTCTTGATGTCTTTCTCATTTTCTCTCAGAAAGTTTTTAGCCATTTTTTTTATCAAAGCCAAAGATTGGTATCAAGATTTCTAACCTCCTGTAATAGGTTACCATTTGGAAGGCTTGTCCTAGGAGTAATACTGATTGATCTAAGAGAAATTTAATCATATCATTGTTCAAGTCTGCTCTTTTGGTGTTATAAAGTTTCCAGAGGGCACCCAACGGTCCCATAACATCAGATATTTTGTTCTGGCTAGATTTCCAACTTTGATCAGATTTTGATGCTGATTTTGAGGACATTTTCTCACTGTATTTATCAAGTTTAGGTGGTTTAAGGTATTTCAACTTTGGTCTAGCATTCTTCTCTAACATATTGTCAATATCATCCATTGACAACAGTTCTTGAGACCAGAAACGTTTAACATATTTCTCTTGGTCTTTAGTTAAACACCATTCTTTAGATTTTAAATCTTCATGTGGATCAAACATTCCCTTTGACATTTTTTTAGATTTTCTTTTATGTCTATCTGAGTCAGAAGAGTCAGAATCTGAACTATTGCTAGTTGAGCTGGACGAATCACTACTTGAAGATGAACTTGAGCTTGAACTAGATGAAGTGTCAAAAGACCTTGACTTATGTCTTTTCTTTCTTGACGACTTTGATGTTTTCTTACCTTTTTTGTGTTTGCTATGTCTATTCGACCTACCAGGTCTGTAGCTCACATCTGATAAATTGTCATGAAAGACAAATTGATCATCGTTTCTCCTAGTTCTTTTCGTACTGGCTATCAGCCTATCTGGACTTCTAGTCCTTTTAGTATTTGATTCTTGGCAATCAACTTGTGAACATCTATCAAAGCCATCATCATCATCATGATCAGTTTCTACACGAATATTTTCATCATTCCTATCTTGACATTCACCTTCTTCAAGGTTTGTTTTTTCTTTGTCCATCTTTGTGAAGTTAGAACATATCTCCTTGTAACTTATTCCAGTTATAAACTATGATTTCAATGTAATAGAATGAGTTATTAAAATTTTTCCGAAAATTTTTTAAAATTTTTTTCCACGCCACGCCATTTTGAAAAAATTTTGAATTACAAATTGCAGACCCGTATTATACTCTCAAAGGACATGAATGAGTCTTGCTATTTAGGCGTGTTCTAGTCGAAAGCGCGGAACAAATAGACCGATAGTAAGGGATATTACCCTTATATAACAACTTCATTATTTAAATGAGGTTGAAACGCTATTGGCTGGAACGCAAGCATATGTAAATTCGTCACTTTAGCGAGTGAAATGAAATTGAATAAAGACAGTCAAAATTGTAAATATTGAACTCTGAACTTGCTAACCTGTACAGATTTTAAATAAAACGAAAAAACACAAAAAAGCACTGTACAAACCACAAGATTAGCAAATCGCAACACTAGGGAAAAGCACAAGAGAATAAACCAGCACTAAGAAAGGACATAGATCTAATTCCTTACTCACTTCGAGAGCCATGTTAGATTTTGAAAATTATGGCTCTCAAACCACGGATAGTGGGAAGTCCTCCATATAGGAGGTATATACACCAGATAATGTTACTTAAAATTAAAAAGAATATGGTCACCTGTTCTCTAGATTCAATTTTTGAATGAATCGTAGCATAATGTACACTGAGATTATTTCATATCATGCTCAGGCCTGTCAACTGTCCCGCAATTTGCGTATTTGTCATGCATTTGCTGAAGAATTTGAAGTCACGCCAGTTTTTTTTGCGTGACAGAAAACGTCACGCAAATACGCATTTTACCTGGTTATTGTCAAGCAAAAATATTTCTGTAGATAAATTTCTAAAAAAGTTCGTCTATACAGCAAAAATATGAACGCCGAAAAAAAAACGTACGCATTTCGTTCGGACTTTTCTTGCAAAACACGTATTTTTTGTACCCCCCGTTGATGGATGTTTGAAACGCGAGCATAGCGAGCGCGAAAAATTTGAGGTGTTCAAAATTTGGCAAAATGTAATAAAATTTAAACCAAGGTGTTCAAGATTTGAAATTTGGATAGAGGTGTTCAGATTTGGACCAAGGTGTCCATATTTAGAGGGGAGGTGTTCAACATTTCCAAGTCACTCATGTTAGGTGTTCCCAAGTTGACAGGCCTGTATGCTATTCTTGAAACATTTATACGCAAAAATAACTGGGTCGCTCACCTCTTATGCCTATATGTGTTCACTAATCCTCAATTAAAAAATTTCTCCAGGCCATTGAAAGGTCCGCTCAGAAATTGACAATTTCTACTGCGCATGTGTCATGGGTTGTGAAACACTGGACGAAATGCAGGCCTGTCAACTGTCCCGCAATTTGCGTATTTGTCACGCATTTGCTGAAGAATTTGAAGTCACGCCAGTTATTTTTGCGTGACAGAAAATGTCACGCAAATACGCATTTTACCTGGTAATTGTCACGCAAAAATATTTCTGTAGAAAAATTTCTAAAATAGATCGTCTACACAGCAAAAATACGAACGCCGGAAAAAAAATGTACGCATTTCGTTCGGACTTTTCACGCGAATTACGTATATGTCACGCATTCCGTTCAAAATTTTGTATATGTCACGCATTCCGTTCAAAATTTTGTATATGTCACGCATTCCGTTCGAAATTTTTCGTACCTACCCCCAACCCCCCCCCCCCCCCGTTGAAGGATGTTTGAAACGCGAGCGTAGCGAGCGCGAAAAATTTGAGGTGTTCAAAATTTGGCAAGATGTCCTAAAATTTAAACCAAGGTGTTCAAAATTTGGATCAAGGTGTTCAGATTTGGACCAAGGTGTCCACATTTTGAGGGGAGCCCTTACGGAAATACATTGCTGCGGCAGCGCTCCTGCAGCGCTGCCGCAGCGCTGCCGCAGCGCTGCAGCAGCAAATTGGCTCCAAATGTTGGATGCAGGTAATTGCAGCCACTCGCTGCGGCAGCATGATGCTGCGGCAGCATCATATTTGCAGCGAATTGGCTCCGACAGCGCTGCAGTTAATTGCAGCCTTCTCGGAGCTGGCTCCGACAGGGCTGCAGCAGCGAATTGGCTCCGACAGCGCTGCAGTTAATTGCAGCCTTCTCGGAGCTGGCTCCGACAGGGCTGCAGTATTTTCCCGCTCTTTTTATACCAAAAGAAAGATGGCTGACAAAGCATGTTCAACTGTAAGAGATTTGGGTAATTTTATGATTTTATAATAATAGTATGAAAATGACCAATCAAATATAGATTCAGAAGTTACTGACATACTTGAACATTCTGCATGTCTATTTTGTGAGAGATAAAATATAAGTATTGCTGTGTTATTCCAGTTTAGATGGGCAAATCTCATTTTCTTTGTGAATTTATAAAGGTTAAATTTTAATTCTATTCATACAGTCAAAGTGGTCAAGCATAAATGTGTTGTGTATGAGGATTGTCCCATGCAGTAAAAATATAAGGTATTTTATAAAGATTATGAAGATAAATACTGCTGGAGGCAGGTCCTTCAATAACTGAGCCTTCTGGCCTTCAGGACAATTCTGAATGGGTAAAATCACCAGTGATGTCCCATAATAATTGCTTATATCGTCTTACGTCCCGGGCCAACCTAAAATGAACAATTTGCGCGAGATTTCCAAAAATTGTGGTACTTTTATGGGAGATTTTTCCAAAATCTGGTAGTTTTTAAAAAAATTGGTAGTTTTCGCCGTAGATTTTTAAAAATCGGGAGTTTTTGAGGTAAATTTTAAAACAACTGAAGTTTTTACGGTAGATTTGAAATAAAACAGTACTTTCTTAAAAAAAGCAGATTATCTCAAATTTTTTTCTAATAAAAGCAATAGTTTTTGTGGTAAATTCTGCAAAAAGTGGTACTTTTATTGGAGATTTTTGACAAAATCTGTAGTTTTTGCAAGAGAATTTTGAAAAAACTTTGGACTTTACCTTAATTAGTACGCTTTGCATGGCCAGATTTGAATATTCACGGGAATAACATATACTTCGAATTTGTGTGTCCCTACCCAATTTTGCATATTATTTGATGTTTTGGGTTTGTATAGTAGAAAATGAATTTTGTAGACAATAATGCATAATGGGTAAGAGTAATCCAAGAAAAAGGTTTTAAATATAGCTAATAAATAGGTAATACTCTGATAATTCTCATCTAACACTACCTTGTTGTTACAATGTAATTTTCATTTTATAATCAGTCAATATTCTACATGAGCGTTGAATGGTAACAATACCTTATTATGAACACCTATGTATTTATTAACGTAATTCTCTCTAATTTGCGTGATAATTGTTTTAGTTGTTTGTTAGCTAAGAATTAATATAGTATTACCTATTTATTGTCAATATTTTCCCATTGACTTATTTCACTTGGGCCCTCATTGATAAAAACAATAAAATGCCAAAGCATCTCGAAACTGAACAAATATTACGCTAATAAAATAAGGGGTCGGGAAAGGGCTAAAACCATGAGACTCAAGTCAAACAAGAGGAAATCTATGAAAATTCAATATTAAGATTTAAGAAATCCAAAAATTGTGCATTGCTTTCTTGTTAACTTATATAGGCAATCAAGTCGTAAACAAGGTAGAAAGTGTGTGTGTGAAAAATGTACAAATAACTCTGAGTCTGATTACCACCATGTTTCTGACAATGTTTGTTCAGTTAGGCAAACTGGGGGATATAACCCAACAAAATCACAGCCATGCAACTATAATGGAAGAGATAGGCATCCATCATATTGGGTGAGATGTTTTCAATCCCCCTCCCCCTAAAAAACCTCAGGCCAATGGTAGCCTTCTCTGCAATTGCTGCAGTTAACCGCAGCTCAAGTCCCAGAGTGAAATGGCTCCGACAGTGCTGCGGTTAACTGCAGCCTTCTCGCAGCATGCTGCGGCAGCGCTGCGGCAGCCTAATTTGCATGCTGCGGGAGCGCTGCGGCAGCAGGCTGCGGCAGCACTGCAGCAGCCTAATTTGCATGCTGCGGGAGCGCTGCGGCAGCAGGCTGCGGCAGCGCTGCGGCAGCCTAATTTGCATGATAAATTCCAATGTGCTGCCGCAGCGCTGCGGCAGCATGCTGCGGGAGCGCTGCGGCAGCAGGCTGCGAGAGCGCTGCGGCAGCAGGCTGTGAGAGCGCTGCGGCAGCAGGCTGCGGCAGCGCTGCGGCAGCAGGCTGCGGGAGCCAGTAAATTTCCGTAAGGGAGGTGTTCAACATTTCCAAGTCACTCATGTTAGGTGTTCCCAAGTTGACAGGCCTGGAAATGGTTTGGTAAATTTCAAGCTATTTGATTGGTCGAATAAATCACGCGCCTTTGCGTGATTTGCTTTATTCTCGCGAGATTTGGCGCTCCGTCCCCTTAAGCTATTATATCAAAATCTACATAGCTTTCGCAGGAAGTAAACATAACCAACCTACATGTTCCAAGTCAATTGATTTCGACATTCGATAGCCTAAGGGGCGGGGTCAAAATATCGATGTTCATATGGAGACGAAAGTACTTTCGCGAGGGGGAGGGGGTTTTTGGGCACTTTCGTTGACCAAAAAAACATCGATAATTCGGATCTGATATACAAAAAATAATTGGACTTACCCACTTTTTCTGGCGCTATGTTCTGATAAAAAGGCTTGTTTTCAATAGTTTGTGAGCTTTTTTGTGTGATAGGTCCAAAATATCGGTATAGATAAAGACGATAATTCGATCATTTTTCAAATAAATTCCGTACTTTTCCCTCCTCCTTTTGAAGAGTTCAATGCAGTTAAATTGCGAACGTGTGTTAATTCACCGTAATAATAACCCGGCAAATAGGATACGATTATAAATCAATGTTTTTTTGAAGTGACCTAAGCTTTCGTCTAGAGGGGGGGTGGGGGGGTTGTTGTCCAAACGAAATTACTTTCGTCTCCATATGAACATTGATATTTTGACCCCGCCCCTAAGGTGTCAATCAAACTAAAAAACTACAAATATGTATCTTATTTTGGTATTTCTTAATGAAATCTCTAAAGTTAGTCCAGGGGCATATCTTGGAATCAACAAGGGGGGGGCCCAAATAGCAGGTCCGAGAAAAAAGCGTCTGCGCTTGCGCGGAAAAAAATTTTGGGCCCCTAAAACCCAAAAGTGGGCCCAAATTTTGAAATTTTGAGGCCCATTTTCTTCAAAATTTGGCCTAAAATAAGGCCTTACAAGGCCCAGTACAGGGCCCCCAGGCCCCCCCCTAATCCGCCAGTGTAGTCTATCTATAATCTTACTCTATTGAGATGCTTCGACGAATGGGTCTACTTTGTCATGGGACTACTTCGACCATGTTATTTCGATGCCGATAATTCATATTTCTAGGGCCAGGGCTAACTTGGATTAAGATCTCGTTGAAATTTCAATTTATTTTAAAAAATTTTCAAAAACAATTGTGGCGGACTTCTTGAATCAGAAATATAAGCCAATGTTGTAACAGCCCCAAGGTCGAAATAGCCCCATGACAAAGTAACCCCATACGTCGAAGTTCAATGGATCCCCCTATCGAAACTGTCGATTGTAATTTCTTGGAAAGAAAATTTATGAACTTGAGAGCCCATGGTGTACTAAGTAGCATTCATGGTACACTTTTAAATCAATCAATATATACATGTAGTGCCCATTCTCTGGTCCTGAGGATTTGGCCATAGGGTATAGTATTACCGATATATTGAGAAAATCAACAGAAGCAACCAACTGTCAGAATTCATGGTGTGACGTGACACCATACTGATAAACAAATCTAACATACCTATCAAGTAACAGATTTTCCCAATATATTCAAATTTCAGATTTGTTCTGCGAAAATAATTCGACTGGTCAGTACAATCACAAACCAAGCACTGAAAGCGGGGGTTTTGGGACTTCTTCATTGAAACGAAAATAAATGACGACTCGATCAACATGCAAAGTCTAGGAGGGATCTCGATTGTGCTTCCTATCGCAACAGGCCTCTTTAAATTCTATTCATAACATATTTTCATGAATTTTTAATCATGATTTTATACCATACATATATATTTGATTATATCACAGATACTAGTTTTCTGCATGAAAAAAAGTAACCCCATACTAGCTGACCTCTATTCTAGCTTGAGCAGAAGACGTTGATGAAGATCGGAAAGTGGATGTGCAAAGTCTTCTGGGTCTTTTGCTGGGCCTCGGCATCGCCGGGTTTTTCCATCTTTTTCAAATGTTTTTTACTGGACATGTGATCGCGAATGGTGCTTTTTCTGGTATGGTCCAAGACGATACAACATACTTTACAAAATAGCTTTCCCCCATCCTCGTATGTCTCATTAATAAAATCTTTATGTCTGTCTCGGGCTGCTTATGTAACACATTTGTGTCAATTTTCTTCACAAACCTATCCATCGAAAACGGAAACGAAAGTCAGCTACTTTCTAGGCAAGAACTGCGCGTCATTAGCGAACTCGCTTTAGCGAATTTAAACGTGATAGAATGTTGAATTTCATGGTGAAATCGTACTTGTACTCAATAATGATTGATTGTTGGACATAAACAGACACTCTTCAAATACCCCGCAAAGGTAGGAGATCGTAAAATATGTAATTTCTGGAAATTCTGGTAATTCCGCGGGATTTTCATGAAAATCAGGGATTCTGCAAAAAATTGAAGTTTTGTCAAATTCCGTCCACGCCGCGGAATTACGGAATACTAGTTTGTATAGTATCTATGTTATATGGACAAGAACACTTGAGGAGTAAAGTTAGAACATCTTATAGTATTACACTTAACAAAAATATGAACTTTCACAAACTATTAACCTTTTTGAAGCTAAACCTCTTTTAGATCTCTGATTGACCACGACCGTTCAAGTTTCAATTGCATATATACTTGTGTAAAGCTACATGTTTTTTATTTTATAACGTCATAATAATTGTTTACTGAATGGCCGCGGCAACTCGTTGTAACCAATGACTCTATAGCCTACCACAATAGATTTATCCCTTTCTCAAATAACGTTAACACTATATTAACAAATATCTTATTTGAGTTGTGTATGGTATGTTGATATAGGGCTCTAAAGAATAAGTTAAAACCCATTGTTAGATTGAAGGCACCCATATTTTATACATGTTCTAGTATAACCCAAAGTCAAAATTGATAAATATTCTTTCAATAAAATTATTTCATGTCAAGTTGTCAAGTAAAACATATTCACTATGTAATAAAACAATGTTTTTTATTTAATGATTTAAAATGATTCATGTGTAGGTGTCATGTTTTTCCTATTTTACATATTGTATGAGACAACTGAAAACCATTTATAAATACAGTAAAACCTGTCTAAGTGGTCTAAGTAGTATCTGCAAAGTGTTCCTCTTTAAAGGTGTTCCACTAACAGATGTTCATTTAACATTGAGTTTATTGGTACTGGGACTCTGTGAAGTGTTCTACGTACAAATGTGTTCCACCTACAGAATTAGTGTTCTACTTGCAGGGTTTAATGTTGTGTAATCTTTCCAGCCTTTAGTAATTATGATTGGTCATAACATGTCACATGGTCTAAATGGGATACCTGGGAACAAACCTCCATTGAATCCCACCTCACCTCTGTTGCTGTTGTACAAGGGAAACAGTGTCAAAATATTGACTGAGGGCCTATAGACAAATATCTTATTACTCAATCAACTAGAATACAATAAACAAAAGCACCCCAGGGCCTTGGTAGATTTTTCAATATTATTTTTCCAAATTAAGTATTTTACATGTAAATGATTCTTTTTGAAAACTTAATAAATGGTAACCTTCTTGAAATAACAATTTCCACATAAGACTAAGAGAAATGGTTTATTTCTGAGTACAAGGTAGGTGGCAGAGCTTTCAGGGTAAAAGTATTGACCTCAGATTTCTCTATACTGTATATGCTCTTTAAAATGCGATGTTTATCAGTCACTACATGCATTTTGTTGAGAACTTACATCCTTTCCCTCGGTCCCATCTGTCATAGTGAAGACAAGAATATGAAGATACTTCTATGTTTTCAATAATTCTAGCTCTAGTACTCTGAAGAAGGTATTCATTTCAAAGCTATATGTAAAATTAACACCTGACCTCCTTGAGAGTGATTACACAAAGCTTCATGTTACTTGTGGACATTGCAAACATGTTGGCAAACTACAATATTTGTACCATTGTCAATTAACCACAAATATATTGATCATCAATTATTTGATAGGATTGCACAGTATAACATTGTCATTTCAACATCTCTTCAATTTAAGATACTGTTAGACGCTCAATTTGAAGTTGGAATATTTTTCCATTTTTTGGTTGCTCTTTATAGAATGAGAAGCAAAAGTCAAGGTAAGTTAAGGTAATTTCATATTTAAGACATTCACCCTCATAGCAGCTGTGGCAAGAACAGGTACAACTTGCATGCAACTATTCTAATTTTGAGAGACTCACACGCAACTGCTATAGTAACATACATTCTACATCACCATTGTTACTTTAATCAACTTCATTTTTTTATGTCCCCACCACATAGTGTGGGGCCATATTGTCGGCCTAGGCGCGTCCGTCCGTCTGTCTGTCTGTCTGTCTGTTTGTCTGTCTGTCCGTCCGTACGTCCGGCAGTTTTCTCCTTAACCGCTACAGATATCACCTTCAAATTTTCAGGGATAACTTATGAGTGCATACAGATGTGGACGAAAAAGTTTCAACTCGATACCTACTTCCTGTCGGCCATTTTGAAGTCAAATGCTAAAATCCTTGTCTGCAAACTTTAAGAAAAATGGCTTCACTGTTGCTTTTAAAACTTTAACATCCTGTTCAACTCACTTGATTCTAGATCTGATTAGGTTTTGGACCTGTTAGCCCAGTCATGGCAGCCATTTTGAATGTCTTAAGAAAAGTTAGCGTGCGATAATACTTTGTATCATATTGAATGGTGTTTTTGAGTTTTCATACTTAGACTATTTAGTAGCTTTATAAAAAATTTCAGGTGTACTTTATTGTAAAAGCCTATGTTATTGTTAACAGTAGTTATATGTGCTAATTTTGTAAAAAGAAATCAGCAAAAACTTATAGTCACTTTTTTATTGTCGGCCATTTTGGATTTTTCCATCCTAAAATCTTGTCTGTAAAGTCTTGTCTATGCGTTTTCAGGCGAACCATTTGGTAGATCATTTCCAAATTTTCAGGGATGTTTCTTAGTATGAAAATCTAGATCTGATTAGTTTTTTGGCATTCTGGGTAAATGTCAAGGCAGCCATTTTGGATTTTCCGTCCTAAAATCTTGCCTGTGAAGTCTTGTCTATGCATTTCCAGGTGAAGCGTTTGGTAGATCAATTTCAAATTTTCAGGGATGATTCTTAGTATGAAAATCTAGATCTTATAAGTCTTTTGGCATTCTGGGTAAATGTAAAGGCAGCCATTTTGGATTTTCCGTCCTAAAATCTTGTCTGTAAAGTCTTGTCTACGCGTTTTCAGGTGAACCAATTGGTAGATCAATTTAAAATTTTCAGGGATGATTCTTAGTATGAAAATCTAGATCTGATTAGTTTTTGGCATTCTGGGTAAATGTCAAGGCAGCCATTTTGGATTTTCCGTCCTAAAATCTTGTCTGTAAAGTCTTGTGTACGCGTTTTCAGGTGAAGGGTTTGGTAGATCAATTTCAAATTTTTAGGGATGATTCTTAGTATGAAAATCTAGATCTGATTAGTTTTTGGCATTCTGGGTAAATGTCAAGGCAGCCATTTTGGATTTTCCGTGCTAAAATCTTGCCTGTAAAGTCTTGTCTACGTGTTTTCAGGTGAACTGTTTGGTAGATCAATTTCAAATTTTTAGGGATGATTCTTAGTATGAAAATCTAGAACTAACTAATTTTTTGGGCATTCTTGGTAAATTTTAAGGTGGCCATTTTGCATTTTCCGTTCCAAAATTGTAGCAGTAAAGTCTTGTCTACTCATTTTCAGGATAACCATAAGATGGGATCACCCATTGGTGGGGACATATTGTACACATTTGTGTTCTTGTCTGTAATTATCTGAAGCACAATTGACTGCCTTTTTGGCTCAAAAAGGTAGATTTAAAGATGTTCTCTGTTCAGTTGACATATAATTCAACTGTACAACTGACAGGATAAATGGATACTATAGACTGGTATACTTAAATGGGGTTCTTAGGGACTTCAGTAATAGAAGACAAGCTATACTGTAGTTGTGACCTTCCAGTTACAGCGTTACAGTGTTACACATACACTAATCAATTCAATTGCTTCTGTGTGGATACCTGATATATATAATTACATTCATTATACAAATTCCCTCTACATCCCTGATCACTTACAAAACAATGATTTGAGTAACAATAGAAACGGCATTTGCGTGGATAAATGAGGATCGTTATTGATAGGCCGATCATGGATTAAGGCTGAATGACTCTAACTGAAAATATAGAATTTAATAAGTGGGTTGCATGATAGATCAATATAGCAAAAGTGTCATTAATTATCAGAACGGAGTAAACATCCATCGTAATTGACTCCATGAAACACTGTTTTCAGTACAATATTTGAACATAGAGCTGAGGAAGAACCAAATAAAAGTAAAAACCAGAAATCGATATTAATTAGGTTAAGGGAATTGATGAACATAAAGAAATTGTATTGATCGCACCTGACCCTAGATTAGACACATGGATTTCTTAGATATACCTGTAATCACTCATCCATATTCTCTTAAGGCTAATAATTACAGACTCAAGGACTGTTATAGGCAGACTTGATTACTAGCTTCAGAGCAATAGAAAGATTAATCTGAGATTTCACAATCTTCTCAACTCAACAAAGATGATGAAAACTAGACAAATATAAGGCTTCTGTGGATGTTGAGTTATTGGGGATTAATCAAGAAATATCAAACAACAAGAAGATACATCTGTAAGACAGAACTCGTGTCATTTATGAAACATAAGGTGGAGAGCATTAACATATTTGACTGCATTAATAGTGATGTACAACATTTGAAGACATAGCTTATATCAACTCTTGCTATCTTGGAGAAACTTCTCACAATGTCATCAAAAGGTATTAAATTATTAATCAAAAAATACTGAAGAATTATATGTAATTTTTTCTATTCAAAGCCCAAATACATCTTAATCACGAAAGTTTTGATATATTCGTTTCATTTATTTAACATTAACACAGTATTTTCCCATATCATTATTAATAGAAATTGACTATGTGGAAGGTTCAATTAAAACATTTGATGAGAAATGATTTATTATTACTCAATATTGTTTTGTTGACAGAATTCTGAAATCTGTGTACTTTTATTTATATAGAAATCTTGTTGTCATTGGCTTAAGTCAGAGTAAATCCTATATACTCTTCAAGGAGAATTACGTTATAGTATTTTTAGGGGTCAGCTTCAAATGGTGTTCAAAGTGGATTATTATACTGCCTATTCAAATGCCATATTGAAATTCACTGATTTTCTAAACCATTTCAATTTAATTTTATACATTTTGTCATTTTTGTGCAATTAGGAATTTTCTCGTCTATCCCATGGACCTTTATCTTTGTTATTTTTAATGTTTTACATATTTTTCACTATTTCTACAAGATAGATTTGAGAAATATTTGAGTTACGTGAAACTTTTTGCAAGGGATCTCTAGGGCCAGTACCAAATATTTGATAATATTTAGTACTGAATTAAAATGGAGGAAGTAGAAGGTTGAATGGTCCTCTACAAAAATGTAACTTAACTACTATATTTGAAATGACAATCGCAGGTAAGGACATATTTAAAATGATGAAAATAACCATGGACTTAATATATTATGAAAGTGATAGTGTCTACATGTTGTACTTGTTTCTGGTAATGGTAATATCCTTCATGGATTCTCTGACGCTATACAGTATAAATGATTTATCCCATACTTGGACGTGTTACAGGTACATAAAGCTGGTTTGTAAAAACTTATATTTTCATCAGCGGGCAGATATAGCTTTACGTCCCGCTCCGAGCGGGCAGATATAGTATATCTGCCCGCTACGTCATAATCACCGCTCGCATATTTGTTCATAATTTGTAACGTTCGCGTAATGACTGTCAACAACAATGGAGAAAACACAGACAATCGGGATCTGTTCGATGGTTTAAAAAAGGAAGGAGCATCCACTTAATCAATTAAAAATTCGAGAAAATAAATATGGGAATATCTAAGATAACAGGAAAATCCGCCCACGGCCAAGAAAACAAAACTGGATGTGAATATTCTAAAATATTTCCACGATTGAACAATGTGAACCAGATGAGATTGGTATTGGTATGGGATAAACATATTATCCTATAGTCGGTTCAGGATATTGGGATTATCCCTTGGCCAATATAATATATTTTCCCTCGGGACATGCGGCCCTCGGGCAAATATATTATATTAGCCTCAGGATAATCCCAATATCCTGAACCTCATATAGGATAATCTCTATATACTATCTAGGTAAGGTATCCCAAAATTATGACTTGAAAAACACTACATAGAAGTACTATTAAGTAGATTCACTGTACATGAAAAAGATACAATAAAACCTGTCTATCCTAAAGCTACTAAGACTGGCCAAAAGTGTTAATATAAACAAGTGTTCATATTTCAAGATTTCTTAAAATGTGAGTCAATAAGAAAAAGTGTTCAAATTGATTCTGATTCGAGAGGTGTAGGACTGATACAACTAAATATTGTATTTCATCTTATTAGAAAAGACTCAGGTACACTGAACGAAATGACAAAATTTCCAAGAAAAAGTGTTCACATTGGTCTAGGCATTCTGATTTGAGAGGTGTTCGGGAATACAGGTTTTATACTGTAACTGAATAGTACTATTGTATTTTATCTTGTTAAAAAAGACTAGACTTGAATACAAAGACCCAATTCAATATACAAGTCAAACACAATAGAAGTCTTTCATTCTTTTTTACTTCATATTGAATTTTTCATTAATTAAGTAGATAAGTGAGGCTTCTCTGTTTATCACCATGACAACAAAAATATAAATAAAGACTGTGTTTAAGGTGGATGTTTAAGCATAATTTTCGTATTTAGAGATATGTGTGGATATTAAATGTGCAAGCACTTCCGTGCAGTGACATTGTCAATTCTGTGGTCTGATATACATGTGTACAGTTAATACAAAAACTGTATGTGATTGGCCGAACCCCTTTCATGTTTAGTGGTAACATGGCTGCACCTGGAGGACATATATCAGTTTTATAAAGGGAAGGAATTCAAGGGATACAGCGCATAACTTTGGAAAGATTCACCATCATTTAATTGGAGCAATTTACATTATCATTCATCATAAAGATAATTTATTTTTCCAAGATGTCTAGAGGTAAATACGCCAAGATTTCAAAGGATTACGATTTACCAGAACTACACTATAATATACTTAATCAAACTAAATCTCAATGACCAAAATCGTTTTCAGAAGATCATCAAATTAATGACACCATATGATTTTTATTTTCAGGACAGAAGAAAAAGTTCTTATATTCTGGTCCGGTCAGAACAGAAAGTCCTGAAGAGGATCAATGGGACTTTGCCACTAAAAACAGATCTCCAGCAACAAGTGAGTAATTTGGGTTGAAAATAATATACAGTTACTGTTGACTTCTTCAGAGCTTGATAGTATACAATTGTTGACCTCTTCAGAGGTCAGTTGGCAAAATTGTATACCGAAACTGTTAATTGTGAAACTTCTGTTGACAGAGACTGTAGGGCTACTGAACTGTAATAAAGTATATACTAGGCATGTAGTATACTGTAGGACACTGCACAGGGTAGTGGCATTAAGATTTGACAGATTTTGTAAAATTGTATTTTATTTTATTTTTATTTTGTTACAGGTGGAGGTGGGTTTGACTTGGATGATGTCTGGAGCATTAAGAAGAATGTCCATATTGGCAATGGGGCGCAGCGCAATACAGATAACTTAACACTAAATGTCAGTAAGGGACATTACTCAAGACATGGTGTCATCAAAGGTATGTACCAAATTAAAGGAACCTGAATAAGCTTTCCATATGTATATAACATAAAAAAGAATGTCCATATTGGCAATGGGGCACAGCCCAATACAGATAACTAGAGGTGTCAAGTATTAACCGGTTAACCAGTTAACCGCCGATAATGCCTTGACCGGTCTGTGTTTTTATGAGCGGTTAGTTGACCGTGTATAATTCTGTTATTTCCCGCGCTTATTTTGCATGCTAATCCGTTTGGTTTTATGGTGTCAGTTTCACGTAAGCAACTCATACATGTCATAAGTCCGATAACTCCTTACAAACATCCAATCAGCAACTTTAATCCCTGCCACATTGCTTTCCCGCGCTTACTTTGCATTTTAATCTGTTTGTTTTTCAAGCGTCAGTTTCATGTGAGCTACTCATACATGTGATAGGTCCGATAATTCCTTACAAACATCCAATCAGCAACTTGAATCCCTGCCACATTGCTTTCCCGCACTTACTTACATAGAATAGAGTAAAGCTTGACGAACGTAAAAAATTAAACGCCGATATATCATTTTTCCAATTTTTTCAACTTTCAAGATCGAAGATGAAGATTTCATTTGAAATTATCAGTTCAAATTTCCCGCCGGTTAACCGACTTTAACCGGTAAAACCCCCCGGTTAACCGGTTAATGCCCAAGAGGTTAATTGACACCACTACAGATAACCTAACACTTAATGTCAGTAAGGGACACTACTCAAGACATGGTGTCATCAAAGGTATGTACCAAATTAAAGGAACCTGAATGAGCTTTCCATATGTATATAACATAAAGAAGAATGTCCATAGAAATCATTTTTATAAATGAATAGATGTAATTAATAGGTGTAGCCGAAGCTCTCTTTTTAGGAAATCAAATCAAACTGTTAAAAAGGATGTTAAAAGGTTTATTTTTAAAAGGAAATCTAGCTTATTTCCAGCATTTTCTGATTATAATTTCTGTTTTGTAGATGATGAGTTTTCTAATACTCTGAATGCAATAAACACATCTTCAAATACAGGTGAGTAATAAAAGATATAATAATACACATACCAACCAAAATATTTTTGTTGCCTTAATAGTTCCCATTTGACTGTTTGTCTGAGTGTTCATCCTTCCACCTGTCCACTAATGATTTTCAGACTAATAAAACCTCCCATTCCTCTAAACTAAACTCATATTTAATTTCATGGGTAGAGAAATAAGGTTGTGAAACCAGAGACTTAATTTAGTGTTCAAACAACCCCCCAAATCCACTTCACTTCCAGTGGTGTGTTGGAGTGGGGGCCGGGGTGGGGGGGGGGGGGGGGAGTTGCAAGGCCTGCAAGGAAGACTACCATATTTTAACCATTCCTATAGGAGTTCTCAAGTTGTGAAGCAAAACTATGAAAATATTATACCTAAATTACATTTTATTATATTAACATCAAAACATGAAGCATAGAATAACACAACAATTGAGTATAAACTCAGATGAAACAGAATCTACTGTCTGCACACAACTGTTGAATTAATATTGACAGATAATGTGAAAGCAATTATGGGAAATGTCTTCTTTAATGATATAAATGACGCAATACACCTCACTCTCAATTACCTATGCAACAAAAATATTTTAATAGATTCTTGCCAGTCTAAAACACAGCTCTATGAAAAGCTCTATGGAAATAAGCTGAAGTTGTTTCAATTGATATAGCGTGGCCATGTCTGTAATCATTAAATTTGAATCTGTACTGTTCCATTCTTTTACTTCACATGAGAAAATGAAAAGGAAAGAAAATTGTGAACAAATGTGAAATATATTGCACAGGATAAGGTGAATATTTAAGCATGTAAATCAATAGTAACATTCAATCAGTCAGTGCCCTGAGCTAAATGCATTCTTTATTTAATATATGATACTTAATCTGGGCCAGTCCGACCTTCTGAATCACATTAATTGCATAAACTGAGAATGAGATCATGGACTTGTTCATTAGCTGGCGATCTAAGCTCATTGGCCAGTACAGCATATAGCTGGCAATCTGTGCTCGTTGGCAAGTATATAGCTGGCGACCTGAGCTCATTGGCAAGTATATAGCTGGCGACCTGAGCTCATTGGCAAGTATATAGCTGGCAATCTGTGCTCGTTGGCAAGTATATAGCTGGCGACCTGAGCTCATTGGCAAGTATATAGCTGGCGACCTGAGCTCATTGGCAAGTATATAGCTGGCAATCTGTGCTCGTTGGCAAGTATATAGCTGGCGACCTGAGCTCATTGGCAAGTATATAGCTGGCGACCTGAGCTCATTGGCAAGTATATAGCTGGCGACCTGAGCTCATTGGCAAGTATATAGCTGGCGACCTGAGCTCATGTGCAAGTATATAGCTGGCGACCTGAGCTCATTGGCAAGTATATAGCTGGCGACCTGAGCTCATTGGCCAGTATATAGCTGGCGACCTGAGCTCATTGGCAAGTATATAGCTGGCGACCTGAGCTCATTGGCAAGTATATAGCTGGCGACCTGAGCTCATTGGCAAGTATATAGCTGGCGACCTGAGCTCATGTGCAAGTATATAGCTGGCGACCTGAGCTCATTGGCAAGTATATAGCTGGCGACCTGAGCTCATGTGCAAGTATATAGCTGGCGACCTGAGCTCATTGGCAAGTATATAGCTGGCGACCTGAGCTCATTGGCAAGTATATAGCTGGCGACCTGAGCTCATGTGCAAGTATATAGCTGGCGACCTGAGCTCATTGGCAAGTACAGCTGGCGACCTGAGCTCATTGGCAAGTATATAGCTGGCGACCTGAGCTCATTGGCAAGTATATAGCTGGCGACCTGAGCTCATTGGCAAGTATATAGCTGGCGACCTGAGCTCATTGGCAAGTATATAGCTGGCGACCTGAGCTCATGTGCAAGTATATAGCTGGCGACCTGAGCTCATTGGCAAGTATATAGCTGGCGACCTGAGCTCATGTGCAAGTATATAGCTGGCGACCTGAGCTCATTGGCAAGTATATAGCTGGCGACCTGAGCTCATTGGCAAGTATATAGCTGGCGACCTGAGCTCATTGGCAAGTATATAGCTGGCGACCTGAGCTCATTGGCAAGTATATAGCTGGCGACCTGAGCTCATGTGCAAGTATATAGCTGGCGACCTGAGCTCATTGGCAAGTATATAGCTGGCGACCTGAGCTCATTGGCAAGTATATAGCTGGCGACCTGAGCTCATTGGCAAGTATATAGCTGGCGACCTGAGCTCATTGGCAAGTATATAGCTGGCGACCTGAGCTCATTGGCAAGTATATAGCTGGCGACCTGAGCTCATGTGCAAGTATATAGCTGGCGACCTGAGCTCATTGGCAAGTATATAGCTGGCGACCTGAGCTCATTGGCAAGTATATAGCTGGCGACCTGAGCTCATTGGCAAGTATATAGCTGGCGACCTGAGCTCATTGGCAAGTATATAGCTGGCGACCTGAGCTCATTGGCAAGTATATAGCTGGCGACCTGAGCTCATGTGCAAGTATATAGCTGGCGACCTGAGCTCATTGGCAAGTATATAGCTGGCGACCTGAGCTCATTGGCAAGTATATAGCTGGCGACCTGAGCTCATTGGCAAGTATATAGCTGGCGACCTGAGCTCATGTGCAAGTATATAGCTGGCGACCTGAGCTCATTGGCAAGTATATAGCTGGCGACCTGAGCTCATTGGCAAGTATATAGCTGGCGACCTGAGCTCATGTGCAAGTATATAGCTGGCGACCTGAGCTCATTGGCAAGTATATAGCTGGCGACCTGAGCTCATGTGCAAGTATATAGCTGGCGACCTGAGCTCATGTGCAAGTATATAGCTGGCGACCTGAGCTCATTGGCAAGTATATAGCTGGCGACCTGAGCTCATTGGCAAGTATAGCTGGCGACCTGAGCTCATGTGCAAGTATATAGCTGGCGACCTGAGCTCATTGGCAAGTATATAGCTGGCGACCTGAGCTCATTGGCAAGTATATAGCTGGCGACCTGAGCTCATTGGCAAGTATATAGCTGGCGACCTGAGCTCATTGGCAAGTATATAGCTGGCGACCTGAGCTCATGTGCAAGTATATAGCTGGCGACCTGAGCTCATTGGCAAGTATATAGCTGGCGACCTGAGCTCATTGACAACTATACGTGTGACCAGAACCGGCAAAAATATATATGGACTTATCAAAGGTAGCATTTGCAAATTCAACTGACGACTGATGTTTTAACCTTATTTTTTATGGCCAACTCATTTAGATACGAATGGAATAGTTTCAGGTATTATTCATATTTAAATGTGTTGGCCATAAAATAGTAGGTTAATCCATCAGCTGTCAGTCAGTATTTGAACTCTGAATGCTACCTTAGACTACAATTGCTTCACATACTGTACATGGTTTCAATATTTGTATTGTTGTAACTTGTACTAACTTATCTGTTTATTGATCATGAGTCATCAATAAATCCCTTGTAATTAAGAATTTGGTTGGGGGTGTGTCAAGGAATTTGTAAAAGATTCCAGAACAATGCATCAATAATCTTACAATCATAATTCCTTTAATGGGAAGGAGGCTTGTACGGCTAGTAATGTATTTTGAAAAAAGCCTCATTTCAATGGGGGGGGGTTAGTCTAATCTATTTGCATATTTTGTTGTTCATGTATATAATAATTTCATATTGATTGTCTCATTGATACTGACAAGCGTCATAATTTTCTTAAAATCAATATATTGATATACAGTGTTGAGCATTTCCTTGCCGCCAGTCCTGCCAATATACTATGCAGCTCTCTGATTAGATTCATCTAAAATTGCCAAAATACAAAACTAAAAGAGAGAGATGTTATCAGGTTATTGCAACTCAATTGATTTTAGTTTTTTGTTTTTTTCCTAGTGTAACATAATTCATTTAGTTTGATAGATGTCTTCAATTATTCAGCATTGTGTTATAACATGGGGATGTGAATTAGATTACCTTCTGTTATAGTGGGGAAATTACATGCAATGTTGTCATGCATTGATATTTTAGTGATTTGGATCTCAAACATGATTAATCATCATATGGTTTGATAAAGTACAGGGACAAAAGATTTGGTGGAAAACTTGACTGATAGAATGTAGAGTTGGTGTTAACCTCTTGACTACCTGGAGTGACGATATTTCTCGTCATCTCAGAAAGATGACGAGAAAATCCATCACAAAATCATTCACTAAAATTGCTCTTATTTGAGCAATTTTCAACCAATTTACATAAAAATTGTTTTAAAGTGTCTCACATATTCGATCAAAATTTGCCATGCAAACATGTTAGTCTACTTTACTGGCCCCCCTTGCTGTAACAAGGAACCAAAAACGCCTTAAAACGTAAACATAAACCAATTAGTCACTTCACTATGAAAGTGGGGGGTGTTAGCAAATGAAGCAGAATACGCTGTGTGCATCTACTAACACAATATCAGTGGTCATTTACTGTGTCAACTTAGTAACACTTGCATATCGTGCTCACTCAAGTATTGAATAATTTTTTTATGATCTAAATGTTTGTGGTTTATAAAAAAATGTGATATAGTTTAGTTAGACATACATTAATTAATATATTCATTCAAACAGCACTAGAATGCGGGAAGAAAGAGCAATGGTGACAAAATGCAGACAGGATTTTCCGTAAGGGTTTCAAACATTTCTGAACACATCATACATGTACTTCATGTGTACTGTTATTTTTAGTGCTGTATTTATAGATATAATTTCACGTATTCAAATCATATTTTCCAGCAATGACTTCAAATTCGGAACCACACTTATATCACATTTTCTTCAATAACTCCAAACATGTGTAAACATTGACCATGTGCATATAAATTCAGATTTCACGAGCTCTTTCCTATTCGAGTACCTCATACACCCCTGCATGGATTTGAGTTGGATTCGCCTTTTATACGTGAGCCGACACACTCGCAAACGCTGATTGGATAAAGATTGCGAGAATCTTTAAAATGTGGTTCAAGAGGTTAATACAATATCTTGTAGAATAGTAGGATGTACAGTAGAACCTGTGTAAGTGGAACACCTTTGGAACCTCAAGGAAGTGTTCGACCTTAGCAGTGTTCTACATACAGAGGTTCATTTTATAGTTGACTAATGGCTTAATGAGTCTTGAGGAAGTGTTCCACCAATAGAGATGTTATGTTATGTTATGAACTTATTGGATGAAACTGAAATAGTTATTGGCTCACACAGTGAACCTACAGAATAAGATATGGATTTGGATATAGGATATATCCTGAGGAATATATTAATATCTCCCTGAGGGACCGAAGGGAATATTTCCCGAGGGATATACCCTATATCCAAAACCGACTTTCAATACAATGAAATTGTAACATTTAAACTTTTAAAAAAATTTTAAACTTTTAAAATCTAAAATTTGAACATTTTCAAACTTTCGAAAAATTCCCAGGAGCGGGATGGATATATTATATCTGCCCGCATTTTGCCTGGACATATACAATATATCCTGTTCACTCCTCAGATATGACATATATTCCCGGGTGATATCTACTCCAAACCCACTCAAGTATGAGATACAAAAGAATATGCTGCTAGAACTCACTGTGTGAACACAGAGACCATGTGTCCTTGATATTTACTATATTATATTATGTATATTTATTATCTTATATTTGCAGGTACAGGTGGAGGCAGATCATGGAATCAGCCCAACAAATCCAATTTCAGCTACAGTTACGCCCAACAACCATCAGTGCCACCTAGTGGTCAAATCTCACAACAGATTGACAAATCTCCCAAGCCACAGACTACATTCCCCTCTATAAGCCCTATTGGGAGAAACAATAACTCAAGGGAGTCGACCAATAGTTTTGCTTCTTTTAACAGCCACAGTACAGGGGGCTCTGGTCCCTCTATAAAACCAGGGGGCTCTGGCCATACTATAACACCAGGGGGCAGAGATAACAGTAGACCTGGTGGGTTCTCATACTCCCCACATTGAGTGTCATTTTAATGACTACTGATCTTATGATAGCTGTGATATAGGAATGAATACAGGATGATCTCAACAGCTTATTGGCCAGGGTAGCTAATGATATTTAGAATAGCATACTCTAGAAAAGCAAGCTGTACAATATTAGGCTCTACAATAGCAAACTCTAGAATGGTGTACTCTAGAATAGCAAGCTCTAGAATGGTGTACTCTAGAAATGCAAGCTCTAAAATGGTGGGCTCTAGAATAGCAAGCTCTAGACTGGTGGGCCCTGGAATAACAAGTTCTAGAATGGTTGGCTATAGAATAGCAAACTCTAGAATGGGCTCTAGAATAGCAAGCTCTGGAATGGTAGGCTCTAGAATAGTAAGCTCTAGAATGGTGGGTTCTGGAATAGCAAGCTCTAGAATGGTGAGCTATAGTGAGTATAATAGGTGACTCTAGAAATGAAATCTCTGTTATAGCAATTTCTATAAAGTGATATCCAAGGTAACAAGCTCTAGAATAGTGAGCTCTAGAAAAATGTTCTACCTCTCGAGGATTGGCTCCCATAGTGCAACATCGATATTCTGTTCCATATATGGGCATGTCGTGATACAAAATTCGAATTCAAACAGCCGCCATTTTGTTCACATTTGATGTGTATGTATGTGGTAAAGCAAATTATTCAGGGAAAAATATTCAATTATTGTAAAATTGTATTATTATGTAAGAACATGTATGACATCATTGTTCAGAAGATACATAACTAAATGTGTGAAGAATTCTGTTTAAAATGTATCACTTTTATAATTTATTGTTACATTTGTACATGTTTTATTTATTGAATTAGAGGGCTTATAACTGGGATATTTTAATCCTCAATAAGTATAAAATATTTCTGATTAAAAATCTCATTTACGTGACTGTGCAGGGTTACCTTACTTTTATGTAAGGATGTCATGTTTGTTAAAAGGTGGAATTAACATGTCACTGTATAATTATTAAAATATACTACTGTCCTTTCCAATCTAAAATTTAATTTTTAGAAAAAAAGATTTGATATATATATATGATCAAACGCTTGTGCTTTATCCTCCTGATTAAAAGTGGTGAACATTTGCACATCTAGGAAGATAAGGGTTAGATACAGAAATGCCAAAGATGGCAGGAATATTTGATAAACTATATTGAAAAAATGAGATGTCCTCTTTTTAAAACATTTGCCAAATGGCTTTAATTCTTGGACTTGTTATTAGCAAATTATATTGCTGTGATACTGTTAGAACTATGATACTCAACTCATTTGTATCTGTTGCTGAAGATTTTTAGTTTATTTCTGTTATCATATGTATAAAGTTTATTATTTTTGTGTATGTTATTCTTCAGTAATTGTCTCTCTCTTCTGGCTCTGTAACAGACATGAGAGAAGGGAGCATGGTTTAGCATGGTTTAGCTGGCTTATATATTTGTATGCGTATATTTATAGAGTATGTAGAGATTTATTTTTGTTAGATAATTTTGAATTATAAGTTTAATGACTTATGATTGTTATTGTACATAAAAGGTAAGGATACCATATATGGTCAAAGAAATGCACAACATATTCTTATTACGACCAGGAAAAATAGTTGTTTCTGGTTGCTGGGGTTGTAGCAGAAATTTCAGACAAAGACATGGCTGGTTCCATTTTGAAATAGTATATCATTGCCAAGTAATTTTGAATGTTTCGAGCTCAAATGAAGGCCTATATAAAAAAGAATTAACATACTCTTTGTGTCTCTAGTACAATGTAGTAAGTTTAATTCATTATATTAAAATTTTGAAAGCTGGACAGCCAAAAACATAATTGCTTTCACCTGGCGTAAAGCAAAAATATTATTTACTATTATACAAAGATATTTAACTATTCAGTGCACATAGTGCCATCTTTATGTCACCACAAAAAGTGGTGACATATTGTAATGGCCTCCAATTTTTTGTGGATGGTATTCAGGAGTCGGAGTTTGGCGATCAGAGTTCAGCATCTGAAACAATTTGTTTTTGGCATCTGTAAAAATTTAAAAGGTGGTGATATTAAATTTTCATGTTTTGTCTTGTTGTGATCTGTTATTAAATTTCCAATATGATCATATTTGTATTACTCTGAAGTGATGACTTTGGCACATCTTTTTGGTTTTTATCCTTTACCAAACATGTATATCATTTAACTCATAGTGTCATTCCATGTGTTACCATGGTTATACTTCTTACACACATTTCCATGTAAACAACTAAGGTAAATAATAATAGTTTATAGAATTAGAATTGTTTTGTTGAAAGTACTATTGACATGATGTAATTGCTGATTTGATAGCCTTATATCAAGTCTGTATCCTGAATGTAGAGGCTAATTATGAAACTGTAAGTACTATTGACATGATGTAATTGCTGATTTGATAGCCTTATATCAAGTCTGTATCCTGAATGTAGAGGCTAATTATGAAACTGTAAGTACTATTGACATGATGTAATTGCTGATTTGATAGCCTTATATCAAGTCTCTTACGCTGAATGTAGAGGCTAATTATGAAGCTGTTTTCAAAAGGCCCTATGTAAAGTCATGGTAAAGTTTAAACCACAATGGCTTATATTGTAGTCTTACCTAATGTTATCTTTTGATGTGTTAAACCTTTATTATTGTACCTAAAAAAGGTACGATATTGTCGTCAGCTTGACGGGCGGGTGGAGTCTCACTTTCTTGTCATCACGATTCCAGGAAAACCGCTTAATGAATTTGTTTTAAGTTTTCACACATGATACATGGTAAGAAATTCTAGAGCTCATTAACTTTTCGATGGCCATCTTTCATTTTGGTGGACATCTTGGAAGTTTTTAGATAAATCTTGTCATCACGATTCCAGGAAAACCACTTAACGGATTACTTTACAGATGTAACATGGTAAGTTCTAGAGCTGACTTTTTGGCCCAAAGTTAGATGTTTGCATAGGGTTCAAATGCAGACTGGGCTTAAATAAACTCTGATCACTTGTTTGACAATTAAAAACATAACACTATAACAACACTATTGGATTAAAATATATGATTTATTTCAATTTACACTTTTGGTTTTTGCCTCTCAATAGTATGCGGCTGCGTATTCTGCGTATATGTGGCTACGCCCCTGCCCTATGGTGTCTGTGTGAGATATGTAACTCAAATGAAATGAAGTATATTTAGAATTTCTTTAAAAATTCTTTTTCGCAGAGAAGTTGATCCAGCACATGCAATGACGCCGGAGAATGACAATGTCAATCGTGCTTCTGTCGAAATTCGTCGGACGCCTATTACACTAATATATTAAATGATCCAATACGAAATCACTGAAAGGCGCGAATAACCGACTCACTCAGAATGATTGCTTTTCCTCGTTTTTAACAATTTTAACGAATGCTTCTATTTGTTATCCTGAATACTAGTCTAAATTTTTTAAAACATGATAGTAAACATAACTCTGATGGGAGCAAAGTAATTAAATCAGAATATTTAAAATATAGTAACCTTTTAACTGACAGAAATTATACTGACGTGAGAATATAAAGGTTGTACATTTAAAGAGAGAATCAGATCTGAAACAAAAAATTGTTTAAATTTTAGAATATTTCTTGTTCATATCATTCCTTGTCACGTCTATTTTCTAAAAATCCCCAAGTTAACACTTTATCTCAGGAAAACTAAAGTTTTTCACAAAAATGTATTATTTTTCTATATTTTTCAATATATAACATGAATCTTTTTGGGAGATATTGTATTTGTGATTGTAAGGAATAGATCGGTAGGCCTATTGTACATGTTGCTTGTAATTTTGTCACCCCTATAGATCTGATTCTGCCTTTAATTTAGAATTACAGTTTAAGTTAATGTTTATAACGCATTGACGAAATTGTTTCACATTTCGGCTACAAGACATTTGTCGATGCTGTTTTCGGCTATAACAGTCAATTAATGATTATACCCTGACTAGGACAGATTGTGTTATAAACATCCAAAATGTCTGATCCTAATTGTGAAAAGTCAGTTAATCGAACGTTAAGCAATAAGCTAGGGTCTTCATCGGCACCACTTATCCCAATCCATTCTTCCTGCCCAACTAACTTGGGTACACAGCGTAGTGATACGTCCTTTCCAGCACACCCTTGTGGTAAGCCTAACACAACAATATCTGTTCCAACCGCACGTAGAGAATCAGCATTTTTATATGTGAGTGGTTGTTTTTCTGAAATATTTTGAGATAGAATAATCATCGACTGATGTACCGATTGACCCAAAATTGTCGAATCTATGGATGATAAAAGAACACTACATAATATGTATTCGAACATGACGTATTCACGCCTTCTATTAACTGTGAACAGTCAATATTTCATCTGGTACTTATTCGTCGATACAATACCGGGTCTGTACTAAGCATTTCGTTCAGTGCTGAACGCTAAACCAGAAGTAGGATACGAAGTGACGATTTTGCAAAATTTTGGTGAGTTATCATGTTTGAATCGTAACATAGACCTCAGATTATATAAATACCGTAGGGCTAGGCACAAAGGCAAATCGCAGAAAACGTTTGTGCATAGCCCTGCAGTATTTATTCGTCGATATAATACCTGGTCTTCGGTCAATATTTCTTAATTATCATCATGTCATGGACAATCTAATAATATGTCTACTTTAAATTAATATTGAGGAGGATTTATATCTTCAGACGAAAAGAAATACCAAAGAAGACTTAATATTGAAGAACTGGTAATGATGCGCACCTAAACAAAACAAATATGTTCCAAAATATCACACAATGACATAGGGGGTAATTGTAATACCTTGATATAACGAAATTGTTGAATGTCTACCTTACAAAATCAAGAAATTAAATTCATTCACCGATTGCAGTTTCTGTGCGTGAGACATAGGTCGGTTATGATTAAAGAAACTATTCACACCGGAATAGCCTGACAACGGTAAAGTCAGGTACCGTTGTCACAAATGGCGGACATGACCGTCGCTTCAACTGTTTAACCACTTGGTCCTCATTTCATGGGATTTCATCGTCGCTAATTCTGTGCATGTATTAAGCTCTTGTGATGATGTTTCATATGAAATCCCAATTTCGATCAAATTGGGTCGTGAATCGCCACAATATAGCATTCTTCGATATCGTCAATGACAACGGAAATGACAACGGAAATGAGTAATTTAGAAAGACAACGGCATATGTAGTAATTACAGTATCCGTAGTCCCGTATCTCATTTTGATCGGTTAAATTAAAGACTTTATTTCGATGGTAGAACATTATTAACTGTACAATGAGTATAAAAACACTTTGATTGATTGTTGTTCCAAAGGAATTTAGTCTAGGTGCTCTACTAAACATACAGTTCATGAACATCTAATTGAAGCGACGGTTATGTCCGCCATTTGTGACAACGCCATCTGACTTTACCGTTGTCAGGCTATTCCCGTTGTGCTATTGCACTTTTTGACAGAAATGTTTTAGGGCTCATCAACATATTGTTCAATAGCCATAAACAGTACTTATAAATAGTTCTTTCACTTCTTTGTTTTGCATTTGAACTTAGGAGTTTCAAAATTCGACATGCTATTTTTTCTTGATATGTACACGCCCGGTGTGAAAGAAATCATGGTCCCCCAGGGATTATGGTACCCCTTCTTAACGGCCCTTACTGGCCCTGATCGTGTATAAGATAACAAGGGAAAGAGGTCACCATATAAATCAATGGAGAGTAGGACCAAAAATTGATAGGACCTCCTACCCTTTTACACCGGTGATCGGAAGAAATGAACGGAGGGGATCAAGCCATTTTTGATAGAAAATTCAACAAATCTTGAAAATTATTTTTTTCAAGAAAAAAAGTTTACAATTGCATTGCTAAATGAATAGGCGCAATACACGGGGAAATTTGTAAGGTTTTCTATGATTTTTTTGAACCGATAGAATTAAGATATAAGATCTATTATAAAGCGTCACCAACGTGCAGATGTCAATGTTTTTGCTATAAATTAAGCAACGGGGGTCTACACGACGGGCTACACGACTTGTTAGAAATACTTGTAAGTGGCGTTATTATCACAAAATTAATGTCATTGCTGGTTTTGTAAAAAACGTTAACAAACGTTGTATAAAAAATAATCAAAAATAAATAAAACTGAATAGAGGGGGGATCAATATGTATATAGGATTCATCTCTAAGCATTTGGCAAACCTAACCAATTGTACTTGAGGAGAAATTGCAAATTTTAACATACATTGTCTTGTCTCGTCTTATATACATATTGATCCCCCCTCCGTTGAATCCTCCTCCGTTCAATTTAAATTATTTTCGATTATTTTTTTATATAACGTATGGTAACGTAAATTTTAACGTAAATATTCCCTCACTTTTAGGTGTTGTTACTCCATCTGTAATCAGAATAAGCATGTTTTTGACGTTCGGGCGGTCACCATTTACGGAAGTAAAATACTCATGCTGGACTGCATCGAGAGCGGTAAAGGTATCTGTAGAACAACCAGCCTCTGTCAAGTTCATGTTTTCAACCAGTCGTAGCAAGTTATCAGGGTCGTTAGAATCAGAAAGATGTGCGACATGCTGGATGCCTTTATTAAATGTTAGCACTGCTACATGTACACCAACAGTTGGATCTCTTGATGTAAGTTTACTTCGTAGAAATTCAACAAGAATAGTGCGCATATCTTCTTTGTCGCTTTGGGCAATCGAGCAAGATGTATCAAGTGCAAAAACAACGTCTCGTTGTTGGCAGGGAGGTGGGCCATGATCTTAAATAAGAACAAATCTAATTAAAAATCACAATTTAATGGAACAGCTTTTCTAAATACAATGTATTACGTCACAAATGGCAGGTGGTGACATTTTGCATGTTTACGCCTTTGTTCCTAATAGACTAGATGCGAGTAGATATAATCTTGATTTACGTCATTAAATATTCAGAATTCAGTCAAAGTGATATCATATTTGAAATCTACAAGTAAAAATACATCTAGAAATATGGTTACAGAAATTGTTTATCAACTTTGAAAATTTAGTTTTATTTGAAAATGTAATTTCCAGTTCGGGGAGATTCCCCATAGAGCCCATGTTATAAAATCACAAAAAGTTAAATATCTTTTATTTTAATGGTCAGATAATATTTTCCTTAGCTGGACATATTTTTATTTGCATAATTATTAGATACATAAGGGTGATATGAAAATTGAACCGCTAAAACAGATAAATATTAAGTTAAAGGGAACTTTTTCCTATACCCGCCATGCTATTTGACCCGAACGAGCCACCTAGTGGTGAAACTGGTAACTACATACTCGCATCTGAGTCATTTCGAACTAATCATGCAAGGATCGAAAAATAGCCATTTAATAACAGTGGTCTAGTAGTCTACTGGTTTAACAACACTCATGTTCATTTCAAATGTATCCGTCCATTGGGAGTCATTGCCAAAAAGTACTCTTAGAACTTTCAAAACTAATATTTCCACGAAGAATCAATTTTCAACAAAGAACTTAAGTATAACAAGATGTTGCAAATATGGAAACAATATAATATATGGCAAACTTACAAGGTAGACATTCGCCTCGAATACAAGCCAACCCTCTACAGCAGTCTCCATCAGATGAACACTCTCCCCCTCTTTCTCTGCAACCTTATGAAATATGATATATCAAACTAATCTATTTCAAACAAACGTTATCAAAATTTGTGTCAAAATCAACTTTGGTTTTACATCGCCAAAGACAGATCAGATGAGCAATTTCGAAATTAAAGTTTGAATCAAATATAAAGATGTTGACATGCAGGGATGCTACATGTACATGTAGTAATAAAGATATGTAGTAAAAATATATATAGTAATAAAGATATGTAGTAAAAAAGATATGTAGTAATAAAGATATATAGTAAAAAAGAAAAATAGAAATATAGAAACATGTCTAGTTTTTAAATCGTTTCATATTTTGTTTATTTATCTTTTTATCATATAGTAAAAAAGATATACAGTAATAAAGATATGTTGTAATAAAGATATGCAGTAAAAAATATGTAGTAAAAAAGATATGTAGTCATAAAATCTAGTAATAAAAATAAAAATATATAGTAAAAAAGACATGTAGTAAAAAGGATATGTAATAACTAGACTTTGGAAATTGAACGAGTTCAATTTCAGACTCCAGATTAAGACCTTTTTAGCCGAGTCATCCAAAATAAGCCAAGTCATCCAGAATAAGCTGAGTCATCCAGAAAAAGATGGATGGATAAAATAGGAAGGTAGGATAGGATAGAATAGGAAAGGACGATAGGATAGAATAAGAAAGAAGGATATGATAGAATAGAATAGGAAAAAAGGATATGAGAGGATAGGATAGGAAGGATAGGAAGGAAAAGATACGAAGGAAAGATAGATAGGAAGGATAGGATAGGATCAAATAGGAAGGATGGATAAATTTTTAATATCTTCTTCTCTACTCTTGACTTTCTATCAGGATACCATCAGATCGATTTTTCCGAAATTTCAAAACGCCATAACTTCCGAACTGGAAGTTGGATCGAAATTTGATTTGAAGATTCGGATTCCTGACAAAATTCTACCCCTAATTCATAACTCATACGTTAAATTTGGTGAATTTCTATTTTGACCTACTTTTCGGACACGCCATTACTTCGGAACCAGAAGTCGGATCGAAATTTGGTTTGCAGATCCGGATTTCTGAGAGAATTCTACCCCTAATTCATAACTCAAACGTTAAATTTGGAGAACTTTTTATTTTGACCTACTTTTCGGACACCATATCTCAAAAGCGGGTCAAAATACTTTCTGACGGCAAAAGGCTAACACTATTAGCACACTCGTGGCTACATATATACACAGTTTCGAGGAATATAATTGAAGTGTAGTGTCAGAATCGCAAAAATAAGGAAAACCATTGAATTTGACCTAGATTTTGACTCAGGCATTTTGGTGTCCAAATTTTGAAGCTAGATGGCTTTTGAGGTCCCCTCCTTTTGAAGGCTTTCATTAAATTAAGCTGAACTCAGTCTACATTTCGTATTTTTCACTTCAAAAAAATCTTTTTTCCCATTGACTTAATATGTGGGCACCAAATTTAGCAATTTTTGAGCTTTCAAACGACATAACTTCCGAACCGGAAGTCGGATCGAAATTTGGTTTGCAGATTCGGATTCCTGACAAAATTCTACCCCTAATTCATAACTCATACATCGAATTTGGAGCACGTTTTGGTGTGACCTACTTTCCGGACGCCATATTTCAAAATTGGTAAGAGTAATCAAAAAACGATTTGCCCTACGGAATTAGCTTTGTTTCCAAGGAACATGATGAAAAAAAACCGAGAAAAAATATTGAAGAACGACTGAGAAAATTGGTAAAATGATGAAAATACAAGATTTGACCTAGTTTTTGACCTTTGACCTAGATAAAAAATTGACCCAATTTCCGAGAAACTAGATACTGGACCTAAATTGACCATATGCAGGACTTGACTCAATGTCTTCTAGTTACTTAGAAAACGTGTAGAGAATAATAAAGAAGAAGAAGAAGAAGAAGAAGAAGAAGAAGAATACTGACAAAAAGCTATAGACTCCAGATTTACATCTGGAGTCTAATAAAGATATGTAGTAATGAAAATATGTAGAAATAAAAATAGGTAGTAATAAAGATATGTAGTAAAAAAGATATGTATTAAAAAGGATATGTTGTAATAAAAAGAAGGTATGTAGTAAAAAGATATTTAGTAATAAAGATGTGGAGTAAAAAGATATGTTGTAATAAAGATGTGTAGTTAAAAGATATGAAGTAATAAGAATATATAGTAATAAAGTATACTGTAATAGATATATGTAGTAAAAAGTATTGTTTAAAGCAATGTTGTGCAGAAGATCAATGGCGATTAATCTGGGTACGACATAGCCACATTTATTATTTCGAGATCAAAATGTCTGTTCATTCATCAAATACACACTAGAATATCTGGAATAACTATAAAGAATTGTATAAACTTATTTTATTACATAAAAAATATGAGCTTAATTCTTTATCTGCCCACTCCTTAAAACTCATTTTTTGCATAACGACTGTTGCTTAATGCAAGTTTTTAAAAATACGTACAACGGTTTAACAGGTAACAAGCAAGGTTCTCATTTGGGCAACAGTCGTCGGGGTCAGAACACATTCCACTTATGCTGCTACACGTTTCTGTAATGTATTAACCGTGAGTAAGAATGGTTTATATTACTTTAATCTCACACTGACTCTTATAAAAGGGAAATGGTTCATGACTCATTTAAGCTTACATTGTACTATTCAACTGTAAAGTTCGATTACTTTTTATTGACTAATTCAATTCAATTCAATTTATTAAAGGGGCAATAAGGACTGTAGAGAAAATAAGAAAGCTTTTTCATTTTTTCTGAGCTATCAAGGCAACATTTGGTTTAACATCTTCTTTGACATACCTATTTTCTTAAAATGTATGGATAAATTATCAATTTCAGCATTAAGAAGTGTAAATTCAGTTCAAAGCTTCAAAAAGGGGACTTCCACTTATATATTTTTAAGATCCACCATGTTTCAAGAGGAATATCAGCTAAAATAATGTTTATCTAGGGGGTTTCTTTGTAGATAATAAAAATAGATGTTAGTCTTGATGAAATATCCAAACTTAAATATATTTTGACACTGGTCCATGATCGTTGAATGACCCCTCTGCACTAATTATTGCACCTTTAAATCAAAAATCAATCATACAAAGTTTCATACAATACATGAAAAAGACACCCAAGGGGGTGTAAACATTTCATGGCTCGTTAGATTTTCAACAATCATGTTTTACTTATAAACCAGAAGCAATTTGAATTTAATTGAAAAAAAGAACAGATGGAAGCAAAAGGTATCACTGGTAGTGGTGTTGATTAATAAGATCACGTTTGATCATTTTTTCAGTGTCGCTCCACTGACCGCAATAGTTTTACGACCAGTTTCAGTTCTAAATCTCTTTATTACCAAATTATATTTATTTCTCGTATCATGGCCTATCATGGGAATGTATGTCAATTCTCTCTTGAAAAAATGCTTGAAATTACGAGATGGAAAATCTTTTGATTCAGTCAAAGTTTTCTGCACAAATGTAGCGATCTGAAATTTATTTATGTCAAAAATATTTAATATTTTTAACTTTCTGAAGATAGGATTCGAAGGAGCAGTTCTTGGAGAGTCTGTCATTATTCTAAGGAATTTCTTTTGTAAAATAAAATAAAAAGTCTGTTCAAATGATTTTTCGTTGCATTGCCCCACAGGATATTCCCATAACTAAGATAGGAATAAACTAAAGAATAGTAAGTAGTTAGCAAGGCATTCAATGTCAATTTATGCCAAGTTTTATATATCAATCCAATTAAATTCGAAATTTTGGTGCAGAGTGTATTTATATGAGGAGCCCATGTTAGCTTAGAGTCAATAATTACACCAAAAAATTAATATGATTTACCCTTTCTATTAGTTGATTATTTAAAGATATTTCAAAGTTGTCAATTTTGTTAACTCTTTTTTTGTCAAAAAATCATAAATTTGTTTTTTTCTACATTGAGTGTTAATCTATTAGAAATCATCTAGTCATGAACCTTTTTTAATTGTTCATTTAAGTCTTTTTTCAGATTATTAATGTTATCATCAGTCAATAGAATATTTGTATCATCTGCATAGAGAACAAATTTAAGTTGATCAGATGTTAAATAAATATCATTTATAAAGATAATAAATAGGAGGGGACCTAAAACAGAACCTTGTGGTATCCCATATTCAATATTAGAAGTAGATGATTGATATTCTATATCTGTTATAGTACTTGAATCAATATCAAAATCATGTATGGTATATTCAGTAATAATTTTCCTATTTTCAAGATAACTTTCAAACCAAGATAGTGTTGTTCCTCTAATTTCATAAAATTCAAGCTTTTTTAATAGGATATTGTGATCAACGGTGTCGAAAGCTTTAGTAAGATCAAGATATATTCCAACGCTCGTTTCCCCATTATCTAAGCTTTTCAATAAAATTTAAAAGAGCCATATAAGCCGAGTGTTTTTTCCTGAAGCCATAGTGCTGTAAATAAAGTATTTCATATTTTTCTAAGAAGACCACAACCCTGTCATGCATACGTTTTTCTAACATTTTTGCAAAAACGCTCAAAATAGAAATAGGTAGATAATTAGTGAATTTGTCTTAAAGTCCCTTTTTGAATATTGCAATAACTCGTGCTATGTTAAGGGCATCTGGAAATTTACCTGTAGAAATTGATAGATTGGAAATTTGAGTAAGTGGAGCTGCTAAAATTTCGTGGAGTGATTTTATAACTATAGGCTTTATATCATCAAATACAAATAGTTTAGTCTCACCCGATGCAGACGGTGGTTGTGAAACGCTTGGAAGGGATATCACGCAAGTGCGGTACGGAACCAATGGCAATTTTGAATTTGTATTCGTGATATTAAAAGCTAGGCCTAAGCTGAGTTAAGTATTCAGATATATCTAGGATGAAGAAGGAATTTCAAGATTTTCACCCTATTTATCTTTTACGTCAAAATTAAAGTTATTTATTCGCAGATTACCGAATCGCAATAGGCTTCCGACTGCATGCCCCCCCCCCCCCTGTTGGGTGGGCCCAGAAAAAAGTTGAGCCCAAAATCTTTTTCTCAATTAGTGGGCCTATTTGGGCAAGACTTGGCCTTTTAGGCCAAATTATCAAAAATGGGCCTTAAATTGTCAAAATTTGGGCCCAATTTTTTGATTTGAGAGCCCAACTTTTTTTCCTGATTTGAAATTTGCCCCCCCCCCCCCTTGTTAGCTTCTAGATACACCTGTGTATGTACCGCATCTTTGTTCGTATCGTTTGCCTTAAGCTGCATATTTAAATATTAATAAGTACAAAACTTCTAATCATAAGTGTTTCAGCGAACTCATGATACCGCGAGCGGCTCACGGTAGTCATCGGGGTATGGCTACTACTCTACCAATGTTGTACCTTTGCAAAAGTCCCATTCTTGTTTGACACATTTCCCTTTATTATTCAGGTAACTCAGATATTTGTCACTGCGAATACTGAAGTAATTGTAAAATAGGCAAGTTCTCCCGCGTATGCGTGCTCGACCTGGTGTGTCACATGTATGGCTCCATTCACCCCATTCTGGAAAATAAAGAAACAAAGATACAACACTAAAAAGAATAAAAGGCAGAATCAGATCTATAGAGTGACATACCTAGACCTACCAATATAGGCCTATTCCTTTCGATCTCAAATATACTCTCCCAAAAGTTCAATGATTTGTTATCAATTGGTAAAATTATTTAAGATTTAAAGTGCACAAATGGGTGAAAAGGATGCTTCTAAAAATAAGACATGAAAATGAATGAGATGTGCTCAAAATATTCTAAAAATGAACCAATTTTAGGTAGCTTGTTAAATTTGATACTACCTGCAAGTTCAGAAGGTTTAAAAAGTTAAAAAATTGGATCTTCAGAACCTAAAATATCAGACACCGTTTCTCATAAATATGGAAAAGCCTATTTAAGCGAAAATTTGATTTCTCTCAACCCCAGTCTTCAAACATGACAGAAAACTACATGACTATACTCTGTTGGTGAGTCTCAAATCCAATTTACCTGATATTTTATCTGATACCCAGGGTAAAAGGTGTGACACCTCAGTGTGAACCGTGGCCCCCATAGTGTTCTTAAGGCAAGACTTATCTTCGACGTAACTCATTATTCCTATGACAACAGACCTATTGCTGTCAGTGTCTCTGCAAAACAATGGCCCGCCACTGTCACCCTGTTGATGAATATAAGAGTGGATGTTTTACCTCAATTTTACATAAATAAAAATTGATTTGAGATTTTGGCTGATGTTTGTCATTTAATTTCGTTGCTCATGATATTCGCACTATCACATATAATCGTCGAGTCATGCACTGGCGGATCCAGGTGGAGTGGGGGGAGGGGGGCATGTGCGCCAGTGTCATGAATGGTGTTTAAACTGCTTCTTTATTCGGTACATTAAATATTCGATATATACCAAATAAACAAACAATTTAACAAACCTTTACCAAATCTATCGAATGTCTTTTATTTTATCGAATATAATAATCTATACAATTTATATTCGCAGACCAGTTTCACTTGTTCATTGTGTTGGCATTTACATTTGATATTTAAACATGTATTTGTGTGATGCAGCAATTCAATTTGGTTTCCCTAGTGCACATATAGTTCAATTGATTATATTAAAACATTCGTTATTAAACTTATTTATATTCGGTAAATACCGAATGCCACATTCGATAAATTTCGTTATTTTTCGATACTTTACAAGACTTTTAGTCACGTGATATATGAAAACGATGTTGAATAGCTGCGCGGCCATTTTGCAAAACTCGAGGTCACGTGACAAAATATCGAAGAACAACGGAAATTATCGAATATTGCGTTATTGCATTCGGTAAATAGCAAATGAGCTTTCAGTAAAATGCATTAACTATGTTATTGAAAAAAAAAATCATTTGGTAAAGATAGAAAAATTATTTCAGTAAGGGTTATAATAGAAATTTGATATTGTGCACATATGTGTTACTCTTAAGGAATACCATAATAGTTTACGCAAAAATATATCATTTAGTGAATAAAATATGTAATTTAATGCACATAGTATTAAGTAATTTAATACATTGGCTATTTTGAAAACTTAATTCGCTGTAACAAATATATAAATGTCTTTACCGAATGGAAAATTGATTTAGCGAATATAAATATTCCATATGTCGAATGTATTAGGATTTAACAAAAAAAGAAGCAAAATAATGCCATAGTCATGGGTTGTACATGAAATATAATTCTTCAATTTATTTAGGCCAGTAATGAACCTCGATAGTAAGTCGCTGCTGTAGTGGCTGGCCTTTGTGGCTCGGGGGCAGAGCATCTGTATATATGGAGCGGAGGGTCCTACATGTTATGCCTGGGTTACATTTGCTCCGATTCATCGGCCGGCGCCCGGCCGATTGAGTATCCTGTTCACGATTGTATTCAGTTTTGAACACAGAATACTCAATCGGCCGGGCGCCGGCCGATGAATCGGTGCAAATCTGAATTATCCAAACTGCATGTTTTTGTCATAGGAGAAATGGGCATATAAAGATTGTTGCAAGTACAACTACGGTAAAATTATGGGCAACTTCGGTGGCCCATCCGTTCCGTTGCTATGACAACCATAATGGGCTCGAAAATCGTATCAAGAGATGTGGAATTCAACAATCTATGTCGGTGCCACAAAAGAGTGGTATCGATATGGTGAACTTTTTGAACACGCGTTTTCTCTTAAACCAGTCATCAAAACATTCTGAAAATTTTACACATCATCAATTTAATGGTCATCTTTTGGATGGTAACATTATAATTTGAAATATATATATAATTTTCTCTATATTGTTTTAGAAAACACATCAGACACGTTCGGAATGAAATGAAATATCTATCCGAACCTCATTGGAACAAAATGACATAAACACAACGTGTTTAGGTCTCTCAATATTGTAATTGTACAAAGGAAATTTTGGTTGATTTTAAAAAAGTATCTTGTTAATGAAATAAAGGGATTATCTTAATTTTTATCTATTTTGGGGGGTTTTGTTTTAAGATTTTGCATACGTTTTGTTAAATCAACCAAAATTTCCTTTGTATAACTATAATATTGAGAGGTCTAATTAAGAAAATGTTGTAAATGCTATTTTTTTCCAACAAGGTTCCGAAAGACATTTTATTTCATTCTCAAGAGATGGTAGAAAGGAACAAAAAACAATTGCACTAAAAAAACGAAAATTGTTAACAAAAACAGTTATATAAATATATATAAAAAAAATTTGCATTAAATTGTTGCCAATCAGTCAACATTACATGAAGGACAGTGTTTTTATCGTACCTAATAAAGGTACGATATTGTAGTCAGCTTGACGGGCGGGCGGGCGGCGGGCGGCGTCTCACTTTTCAGCTTGTCTACAGGTTTCCAGCCAAACCATTAGACAGATTCAGATTCATCTGAAATTTTCAGGAATGTTCATACGTACCAAAGTTAAGAACTGATTAGTTTTTGGGCATTCTGGGTAAATTTTAAGGTGGCCATTTTGGATTTTCCGTCCTGAAATCTTCACTTTCAAGACTTGTCTACAGGTTTCCAGCCAAACCATTTGACAGATTCAACTGAAATTTTCAGGAATGTTTCTACGTATCAAAGTTAACAACTGATTAGTTTTTGGGCATTCTGGGTAAATTTTAAGGTGGCCATTTTGGATTTTCCGTCCTAAAATCTTCACTTTCAAGACTTGTCTACAGGTTTCCAGCCAAACCATTTGACAGATTTATCTGAAATTTTCAGGAATGTTTCTACGTATCAAAGTCAAGAACTGATTAGTTTTTGGGCATTCTGGATAAATTTTAAGGTGGCCATTTTGGATTTTCCGTCCTAAAATCTTCACTTTCAAGACTTGTCTACAGGTTTCCAGCCAAACCATTTGACAGATTCATCTGAAATTTTCAGGAATGTTTCTACGTATCAAAGTTAAAAACTGATTAGTTTTTGGGCATTCTGGGTAAAATTAAAGGTGGCCATTTTGGATTTTCCGTCCTAAAATCTTCACTTTCAAGACTTGTCTACAGGTTTCCAGCCAAACCATTTGACGGATTCATTTGAAATTTACAGGGATGATTCTACATATCAAAGTTAAGAACTGATTAGTTTTTGGGCATTCTGGGTAAATTTTAAGGTGGCCATTTTGGATTTTCCGTCCTAAAATCTTCACTTTCAAGACTTGTCTACAGGTTTCCAGCCAAACAATTTGACAGATTCATCTGAAATTTTCAGGAATGTTCCTACGTATCAAAGTTAAGAACTGATTAGTTTTTGGGCATTCTGGGTAAATTTTAAGGTGGCCATTTTGGATTTTCCGTCCTAAAATCTTCACTTTCAAGACTTGTCTACAGGTTTCCAGCCAAACCATTTGACAGATTCATCTGAAATTTTCAGGAATGTTTCTACGTATCAAAGTTAAGAACTGATTAGTTTTTGGGCATTCTGGGTAAATTTTAAGGTGGCCATTTTGGATTTTTTGTCCTAAAATCTTCACTTTCAAGACTTGTCTACAGGTTTCCAGCCAAACCATTTTACAGATTCATCTGAAATTTTCAGGAATGTTTCTACGTATCAAAGTCAAGAACTGATTAATTTTTGGGCATTCTGGGTAAATTTTAAGGTGGCCATTTTGGATTTTCCGTCCTAAAATCTTCATTTTCAAGACTTGTCTACAGGTTTCCAGCCACACCATTTGACGGATTCATCTGAAATTTTCATGGATGTTTCTACGTATCAAAGTTAAGAACTGATTAGTTTTTTGGCATTCTGGGTAAAATTTAAGGTGGCCATTTTGGATTTTCCGTCCTAAAATCTTCACTTTCAAGACTTGTCTACAGGTTTCCAGCCAAACCATTTGACGGATTCATTTGAAATTTACAGGGATGTTTCTACATATTAAAGTTAACAACTGATTTGTTTTTGGGCATTCTGGGTAAATTTTAAGGTGGCGATTTTGGATTTTCCGTCCTAAAATCGTCACTTTCAAGACTTGTCTACAGGTTTCCAGCCAAACCATTTGACAGATTCATCTGAAATTTACAGGAATGTTTCTACGTATCAAAGTTAAGAATTGATTAGTTTTTGGGCATTCTGGGTAAATTTTAAGGTGGCCATTTTGGATTTTCCGTCCTAAAATCTTCACTTTCAAGACTTGTCTACAGGTTTCCAGACAAACCATTTGACAGATTCATCTGAAATTTTCAGGAATGTTTCTACGTATCAAAGTTAAGAACTGATTAGTTTTTGGGAATTCTGGGTAAATTTTGAGGTGGCCATTTTGGATTTTCCGTCCTAAAATCTTCATTTTCAAGACTTGTCTACAGGCTTCCAGCCAAACCATTTGACGGATTCATTTGAAATTTACAGGGATGTTTCTACGTATCAAAGTTAAGAACTGATCCGTTTTTTGGCATTCTGGGTAAAATTTAAGGTGGCCATTTTGGATTTTCCGTCCTAAAATCTTCACTTTCAAGACTTGTCTACAGGTTTCCAGACAAACCATTTGATGGATTCATTTGAAATTTGCAGGGATGTTTCTACATATCAAAGTTAACAACTGATTAGTTTTTAGGCATTCTGGGTTAATTTTAAGGTGGCCATTTTGGATTTTCCGTCCTAAAATCTTCACTTCCAAGACTTGTCTACAGGTTTCCAGCCAAACCATTTGATGGATTCATCTGAAATTTTCAGGGATGTTTCTACGTATCAAAGTTAAGAACTGATTAGTTTCTGGGCATTCTGGGTAAATTTTAAGGCTGCCAATTTGGATTTTCCGTCCTAAAATCTTCACTTTCAAGACTTGTCTACAGGTTTCCAGCCAAACCATTTGACGGATTCATTTGAAATTTGCAGGGATGTTTCTACATATCAAAGTTAACAACTGATTAGTTTTTGGGCATTCTGGGTTAATTTTAAGGTGGCCATTTTGGATTTTCCGTCCTAAAATCTTCACTTTCAAGACTTGTCTACAGGTTTCCAGCCAAACCATTTGATGGATTCATCTGAAATTTTCAGGGATGTTTCTACGTATCAAAGTTAAGAACTGATTAGTTTCTGGGCATTCTGGGTAAATTTTAAGGTGGCCATTTTGGATTTTCCCTCCTAAATTCTTCACTGTCACACTGCTGTGTTTTAGGTACGATATTGTTCACGTCTGTGCCTTGTTTACAGAATGTTTTCAATAATTGCTTTAAGAGAAAAACATTGTTTTCAATTCACCATATCGATACCTATCCTTTTAATGGAAATGAACAAATATAAATGAAAATATAGCAAAAATAGCGAATATATAGGCCTACTGATCGGCCCTTGTATGTCTATGATTTCCACCTACCCTACAGGCTGTTCCGTGTCCTATAGCAGTTGTGCTAACTGTAGCAGTCAGAGCAGTGATTTGTTCTCCATTCTCATTATCTGTTGTGACAACATTCTGCCTTCTCAATATTGGGGATGGGGATAGAGCTAAAATGATTCTTTTCATTTTAGTGACTGTCTTGTGACGTTCATGTTTTAGTCAACCTGTCTTTATCGAAACGTTTCGTTCAATAAAATGTTCAATTCTATTTCAACGTGAGATGACATCATCAGCACGACAAAATCTAGAACACTTACACATGGCAATATCGAATATGCTATTTTGATTTTAAAACAAAGTACCTATTCAAAATGAAATGAAGAGTTAGAGTACTTACAATAAGATCTGTATTGGCCCCAGCCTGCTATTTCACACTCCCAATACTTCCATGCTGAAAGTCTTTCACATTCCTCGTCTGCGGAACCCCTACAAATACTAGTGGGGAGATCGCATGGTTGAACATTCGGTTTAGTGAAGTCAAATGGCGCATTGACTTTCATCAATGCTATGTCGTTCCTTTCTGGTATCCCTATAGCATTTTTTGTATAATTCTCATGGACCACAACACTGACAATTTCCCTTATTTGGCCATCCTCGTCGATTTTCTTTGCGTGTGCTGTGGTTGCAATAATCCAGCGCTTATTTTCCAATTTTTTAAATCACACTTTGAAGTTCTGGAAATAAAGCGGCACAATGCTTATATTTATGGCCTGTGTGAGAAAATGTTAAAAACAGCTGTTTCACACAACAACAAAAGCTTTTTGGGAGCTAAAACTGTCATAAATTCGTCAGAAACTTACAGAAACTTATTCTCTGAACAACAATAACCATCAAAGCAGGCACAATGTGCAGCAGTCATAATCCAGTTGCCGGAAACTATTATTCCACCACAGAAATGTCCGGTATCTTCTCTAAAATACGAAACGTTTTTCGAAATTGATACAATATACGAGTATGGCTCCACATTTCGCACTTTATAGCTTTGAGGACCGGCGGATCGCCCACCAGCTGATTCTGTTGGCGATAAGCAATCACACTCTCCTTCTTCCGTTGGTTGTTGGCCGATACATTTTCCAAAGTGTAATGCCCCACTATCGTCCATGCACATCTTATGACGTACCCTCAGCCCACATCGTTCCATTACACCAGGGCATCCACTCCAAGGCCCCCATGTGCCCCAATGAGGTACATCTGAAATATTAAAAACAACAAAATGCCAAAAGGCCTTGGTAATATCAATTTCAATAATTCTAGTTTAAAGTCCAAGGTAATATTTTAAGTTGCTGGCTGTTTTTAATGTCTGAAAGGTTTCTACTTAAGTTTAAAATTGCTTTCGATTAAGATTTGCCCCGGTCCTTCCATCAGAAAACGGGATATGCCGAATTAAAACAGAGCATATTGCTAGTCAAAATGGAAATTTAAACGTAAATGGAATCATGTATCACATTTCAGGATTACCATTTGAAATATTCTTATTTTTATTTTTAGAATTTTGGATCAGAAGAATTGGGCCAATCATATTTTTTCTCATCTGAAATTGTTGAAATTGATTGTATGTATTTGAAAATTGCGTTTCAAGTATCTTTGTTAATCATCATCAGTTGAAATTAAATACATGATAATCGCTGTTGTAAATTCATCATACCTGTTCAAAGCACACCGTGGAGGTAAACAGGACACATTAACATACATGAATAATCAATTAAAGGCGTATATCATTGCAAATATCATTTATATTTGTTGGCCAACCACTTTGTTTGTTCAGCATAGAATAGAATAAGTATAGCTAAGGGCCTATATTAAAAAGCCTTTTTATACTGCAAAGTTGAATATGTACATTCGTGGTAATTTTGTATTTCAATATGAATATATTTTTGTATACTGTAAGGCGACCGTAGTGGTAATGTCAGTACGGCGGTGGCTACAGAAATGAAAAAAAGGTTATAACGATATTATTTCCACGGCTACAATACGGCCTGTAAAAAGCTGGATATACGAGGTACGTCCGGTGCCGTTACCGTAAGGCAACCATCCCCCGAACGCAGAGCATCAGACCTCATTCATACTGTTCCACTTAGCAAAAGGAACGACCAGAGCGTTTAATGTCTGGAACCCAACGTTCGGAGAATGTGCCATGTCATGTTTAACCTTGAAAGTACTAGCTACTTCAATTATACCCCTAATGTCATGTCTTCTACCCTGTCTGTAACAATTTCAAAAACAATTTCAAATTAGTACAACTTGTTTTTGTCTTTAACATTCATATTTCAAGATGAACTACAAATAACAGTCAATGATTTAGTAAGAAAATAGATAAATGCTTGACTACTTGCTGGTATTTTTCTAACATAATTTCGGTTGATGATTTTGCCTAGCAACCACATAGCAACTGTATATGAATCAAATGAGTGAAATTGAAAAATAAGGGGTAGGAGAGGAAAAAAATTACAGGGGCGGATCTGGGAACCAATAATGGGGGGCCCAAATTTTAGGTCAGAGAAAAAACCTCCGTGCTTGCGTGGAAAAAAAATTGGGCCCCTAAAACCCAAAAGTGGGCCCAAATTTTGAAATTTTGAGGCCCATTTTCCTCAAAATTTGGCCTGAAATTTAAAAATAAGACCCAGTAATGACCAAAAGGCCCAATTTTTGGGGCCTTAAGGCCTTTTTTGGCCCAAAATTTTTTTGGGCCCCCAGCCCCCCCAGATCCGCCAGGGAATAATATCTAAAATTTGGAGAGAAGAAGTGTTATAATTCTAATACCACGGTTGGCATATATCAGTCAAGCCAAGTAACTAAGTCAACATTCGAAAATGAAAATCTCAAAAATCGTACATCTTTGATTTCCAAAATAATTTGTGAGGTGGTTATTAAGATGATAATACATCTTTTAACGTATTAATTTTGAGTACATCTTGAATCCATTCTCAACAAAGCTTTGTCTAAATAAGGATTCGAAATATTTGAGTTCGGGATGATAAAAGTACGTTGAGATATACCGCTCCTCAACAAACTCCTTTGGGAACAAGATATAGAATCAAATGCATATTCTTCTTATTTACTCCCTGACACATGCCATCGAATGTTACATCAGTTAATATCTCCGTTTTAAATAATTTTGTAAAACGTTGTTCTCTACAGGTGCCATTTTTACAATTGAAAAACAAAATTGAACATTTTGCATTTCTAAATTGATAAGTTTCTTGGAATACAACTTAACTGTTAACGATTTAAGTCATTAATAATATTTCCCTCAGTGATCCCATGCTAAATAGACAGTAACTAGGTTATTATTTTGTGTTCAACCTTGTTTTCATGACTTTTAAACATGAGTCGAAAATTATGTAGGAAATTTCAATTCCAAATGTAAGCGTGTCAACTCCTGTTTTTGCACAAAATTTAGCCTTTTATAAAGATAGATCGCCAAAATCTGCATGTACCTCTCAATGAGGCGACACATTTTTAAATTTATAGATGCTGAGCTCTAAACTCAAACAAAAATTCAAACCATCCGCTATTATTTTGATTACACAAGACGAAATTTCCACTCCCGGGGAGCACTGTGGTAACACTTTGAAGGAGGATTCTTGAAAAATCGTTCGAATTTTCACAAAAGGTTTCACGCAGTTTTATTGCTTTGTTTAAGCCTCCACTAAAATCATACTCAAATCCGATACCATAATTATAAATCAAAATGAAACATTAAACTCAGGTCAGGTTATATGATAAACCGTTTCGAGAATTGATGATTTGAGTTAACTGTGTATATTTAAATAAATGAAAGTCGGCATTATTCGACAGTTAATGTAGACACATGATGTATGCATCCACGTGTGACTTAAATATCGATTCATGACTATCATATTTGGCTTTCAAAAATTAAGTTGGAAGTTACAGTGGTTGGAGATTAACGAAAACGTCAGTCACATCCGAATATCCGAACGACGTCAAGTATTAACAATACCCTTTTTGTGCATCTCGAACAAGGCAAGGTTCTGTGATCCAGCAATGTGCATTCCGAAAGAAAAAATTCACAAATATCAACAAATTTCATTGAGTTGGATATTACATTCGAAATCACAACTTTCGAAATGTTTGTTTTAAACAAGAATTGTAAGAACTTAAAACATGTTGTTAGTTTTTTAAACCGCATATCCTCATTTACGTTCTTTGACAAGGATGAATTCATTTGAAAACATGGATTTTCTTGATTATTCTTCAAAACTACCCTTGAAATATAAGTGTGTGGGATATTACAGTGTAAATTGACACGCATTTGTTTCCTCCATGTCATGAAAAAATAAATGCAGTACCATCTTTCAATATTTGAAAACAAAAAGTTCATTCTGTATGTAAACAAGAAAAAATACATTTATGGTTGATTCATAATGAAAAATGACAAATAACATACATGTTTTTAAGTAGGGGTATACAGGGACATAGTGGAAATTCAGAAATTTAGGCCATATCTCAAAGACTGCTTCACCAATATGTAACAGAACATCAAATTTATCATTTACACGTTTGCTGATAAGTTTATTGAAAATAATTAAACAGAGGTTCAATTGTGGCACCATTCTTAGTTAATATTGATGGACATACGAATATCGAATGTTGACTAAGTTGCTTGGCTTGACCGATATGTATATTCAATAACACACAAAAAATCAAATTAATGAAGTAGTTTTCGAGAAAATCGTTGTCTCTAAAAGTCAAAAGAACTAACGCGATTCGCGAAAATGATTTTTCGATTAACTGTATTTTACTTTTAAAAATTCATAAAATAGTCAATAATGGATCGATTTTCATGAAATAGAGCATGTTGGAAAGGGAATTAAAAATGCTAAATATTTTGTTTTTTTTATCAAACAGAGTAATAATGATTATACTGTGTTTATGTGCGGGCAATACCTGTTGCACTTTCTATGATTTTTGCAGTAAGTATTGTCCGCAGATGAACAGGTACATGTATTGCATTCCATATAATGAAACATTTCCCGACCATCATAACTTTGCTCCCCCCACCCCCAATAAACTTGATGTTTACACCAGAAAGTAGCTTATATCTGTGGCTTAGGGTGGAAAATAACGAAGGCACAAAGAAAACGTGCAAAAAGTACTATCGAAAAAATCGACATACATTTTGGGCTAAACGGAAAGGCTAAGCCCTCGGACAAAACTTAAATAAAACAAATGTGTCAATACAATGAAAGTTCTTACCTGGAAAACGAACCTTGCTAAGATTTTTCTTTACAAACGCATAGCTTTTGGAGAAACTTTTTAACAGTTTGATCGCCTTCTCGATCGCATCAGCAATCTCTGGCCCAGATTCTCTCACTAAGGCAGATTTGTAAGTTACCATTGTTGATTGAAGGCTCTTAATTTCATCGTTTTGCCTTTGGAATGTGTCCCCGCTCATGTCCATATTTATATTTGATATATCTTTAATAAGATTTCTTGTCGTATTTACAAATGCATTTGAAACATTTGTATCAGTTACTTCACTAAGAACCCTCTTCAAGATTGAAAAGTGCTTTGTAATGCTCCGTATTTCACTTTTGAAACGCTTCATTTTCTTCAGTATCTGGCGAATTATTTTCTGAGATTTTTTCAGGACTCTGCTATCTTCTTTCTCGAGTTTAAGATCAAGGTAAGCGGATGTATCTGCCTCAGCGTTGCTAAGACGATTAAAGAGCTCATCTCTGTTCAGTTGTCCAATAAGATAACTCGATGACATGTTGAGAAATCTCAGATCAACATCCTTATCGCTCTCTTGGCCCATCCCTACATGGGCAAGTAGCAAAAGGAAACCAATGGTGTGCGCGTAGTAAGACATCCCCTCTGTTATAATACAATATCACATTAGTGTACTGTATTAAGTACCTAAACTATCCCGGATGTTTGTTGGAAGCCTTCATGAGTTGTGGTAAAAAGTTATAATAGAAACTATATAGAATGATAATTCAATATTAGACATTGCACTGCCGGGTGGTTTTGTCTTTGATAAATAAATTGTGCAACATTCTTGATTCACTGGTATTTGATATAATCCCGCCCCCTTTCCCAAATGTAGGCATTCCTTTTCCGGTTTTCACCCACCCCTTTAGATTTTTTCAAGAGTACTTTTTGCACATTTTTTGTGTCTCCGTTTAGGTTGAGCAACATATATAAGACACTTTTTGGCGTAAAAACCAAGGTGATAGAGGCAGAGGGGAAAAGTTATGATAGTTGGAACTACAATAAAGGAGCACGTAGCTAGGTTATCGCAAACAATTTCAGAAGGTGATATCTTGGATTATGACTATTTTCTGACAATGAAGACAGGTTTATCTTTTAGATCAATTCATTATCTGAAAGAAAATTATATACAGTAATAATAAAGTCAAACAAACTAGCAATCAACCCATCATCACACTTTTACAAAGATGTTGACCCCATTTTCACCAAAAATGCAATCATTTTTGACAATGCTTAATACATTACTACTCTTTATTTTGATGTATCAAATAGTTCTTAAAAGAAAAACTTAATTGCTTTAGGATAAGTGTTCCCCATGTTATTTCTCCATTGAAAAATCTCATGCTATCCATTGGTTCCAGTTCATTTTGGTCATCCAAATTCAATATCTTTAAAGTCCCTGGAGCAATCAACTTTTCCTTTTAGTAAATCGAACATGTCTCAGAGCACATTCTAATTATGCATTCAACAATATAATAAAAGATTGCATTATTGGTGAAAATTAGGTCAACATTTTTGAAAAAGTATGTTGATTGGTCCATTGCCCCTTCAATATCACTTCGGTCTGATTAACTAAATTATCATTATATAATATACTTTTCTTGAAGATAATGAATGGATCTAAAAGATACACCCATGTTCATGATCAGAAAATATTCATAATTCAAGTTAGAATCGTTTGAAATTGTTTGCGATAACCTACGTGCTCCTTTGAAATTCATAAAAATATTGATAGTTACCTTGTTTCTAATACTCTAGAAAATACAAAAAGAAGATTATTGCTCCGTTTGATAGATGATAATTTAGCAATATTGTATTATCTTTCTAATATGTTATATTTAATGACAAAAGCAGCCTTTATTGACTTTGTTATCATTATGAATTTGTAAAGGTAAGAAACAGTTAATCGCCAAGTATATTCGCGAATCGCGTCACGAAAAGAGATTTTTTTCAAAAACCGCTTAATGAATATCTTCGAAAGTTACGCATATTCCTGAATGTCTATACAAACTGTTGTAAAAGAAGAACCCCCCCCCCTTGCAACTTAGTGTTATAAAAAATGTTGCAGACATTAGGGCTATAAGCTTATCCAAAATGGAACACTTCTAGAATTGCCAAAAGTTCAACATATGAATAGCATAACACAACAAGCAAAACATAACAAGTGAAAGAAACTTCATCAGATCTTTTACATATTCAACTTATTAATTTTTTAAAGGGGCAACAATGCCTGTAGAGAGAAAATTTGGAATTTTTACTTTTTCTGAGCTATAAGGGCAACATTTGCCTTAACATCTTCTTTGACATATCCATTTTCTTAGAATGTATGGAACTATCAATTTCAGCATCAAGAAGTGTAAATCCAGTTCAAAGCTTCTATATAGGAGTCCCACTTATAGATTCCTAAAATCCACTACGTCTTCATCCTCCTAAGCAAGACTAAGAATATATTCTGGATTTTGAAGCCCTGTGATCAGAGGATGCTACGTCTTCAGCTGAAATAATGTTCCAGGGGGTTTCTTTGGAGATAATAAAAATATCATAGGTTCTTGGCCGATATAAAGATGACAGCACCAACAGAATCCAGTATAATCTTTTTCTCATAGAGAAACATAGATAAACACAGATCGATTACCATGCCATCTTTATGTAAAAATGATTTCTATCGCCCATAGCCTATGAAAAATATATGAGTATGTCACACATGAGTATGTTAGGGTTTACTTACCTTGGCTACCGGATTAACCTACTATTTTATGGTTGATTCATTTAAATATGACTAGTACTGCCACTATTCCATTCATATAATTTAAATGAGTTGGTTCAGCACAAGTAAGGGTTGGGGTAAGGGTAAGGGTTGGGCACCGGACCTATACATTTGCTCTAATAATTTATGGAGTGAACTACAACATCATATTTCGTTGTTTCCTGGCTAAGAAATGTTGATGACAAATTCCCTAAAAGAATTTCTTGGCTCACAAAAGGGACCCATGACCCCGCCCCCTGGATCCGCCAATGATGTGAATAATAGATCTAGTTCTCAGTTTTAAGTGCTAACTAGGCCACATCTATGAGAATATAATTCAAACCTTATCTTACATATCACGACACATTTGATTTGTTTTATTGGCATTTTACATTAATTTTGAAATCTCATTTTGGGAATTGTTAAAGGAAGTGCCATGTAGCATTTGTTCGTTTCGTAAATTGGTTTGACACATCGTTGTGAGCGGTGACGTCAGAATGACCTTTGACCTATATTTCGCTGAATGGCATGATCGGTGGAACAACTGGCAGAAAGTATACGTGAAGTAATCCATGAATAGTGTATGAAAGTGGAGATCAGTCGCTCTAAATCTAGAGTAATTATCAAGAGAAGATATAAAAGCACCCATCTGCTAATATTCTTCAAAAATTACGCATAGGTAAGTGAGTTATTCCATTTTTATTTTACATCACGTTTGCATCGCAGACAGACAGATCTTCTGATCTGAATCAATTTTATAATTTTCATCTCGCTAGGCTATTTCATTTCAATTATTGTCACTGGTCCATCTAATAGACCTATGCGATTTAAGGGTTGCCTGATACTCCCAGACAAGGGGGGGTGACTGGTCAAATTTTGTACAGGGGGTGCCGCTGAGACTTAAAATTGTTGTTGTACCTTACTCAATTCGAGAGCCATGTTAGATTTTGAAACTTATGGCTCTCAAGCGGAGAAGTGAACAGCTGATCATTAGTGACCTTTGAAATTGAATTAAGTCGATCCGCGGCTTACTTTTGGTCTCTAACTGTGTCTTACATCAGTATCATCAATCCATGTAAGTATTGGAGCGCTAGAGTACTTCTTTTTCGATCAAGACTTGTAAATTGTTCATCGAGTTAAAGTTTTACAGACCTATTTCCAATATGGCGGTTTGCTAGGTGCGAGATACGCAACGAACGAAATGAATTTTGAGAATTAGTTAGGTTCGGACAACCTCCGGAGATTTACGAAAATGTCCGAGCAGAAACCGCCATATTGGAATTTGGCAGTAAAACGATTCACTCGACTAACAATTACAAGTCTTGATCGAAAAAGAAGTACTCCAGCGCTCCAATACTTACACGGATTGATGATACTGATGTAAGACACAGTTAGAGACCAAAAGTAAGCCGCGGATCGACTTAATTCGATTTCAAAGGTCACGATCATTGAGCTGTCCAAATATAAGCTATTATATCAAAATCCAAATAGCTTTCGCAGGAAGTAAGTTGTACCCATATCTAGGCTAGGGCCTAGGGATTTTTTCTCTCTAAAAATGGACCCACATCTAGGGGTTTTCTTTCAAAAGTAGACCCAGTTCAAGGTATAATTTTACAAGACACACTTCTGGCTAAGGTGAGTAAGGATTTTTCAAAAATTTGACCCAGTTCTACACGCCCGGTGATCGTGAATATGGGACGGAGGGGGGGAGCAGGCAATTTCTGCTAGGAAATTCAACAAATCTGTAAGATTTATTTTTTCAAGTTTACTATTGAATTGCTAAATGGATAGGCGCACGGTATGGTAGAATATGTTAGGTTTTCTGGGATTTTTTCTGAAACGATACGCATCTAAGGTATGAGATCTATTAAAAAAGGCGCAAGGCCATCAACAGGCACAAATCAACGTTTTTGCTATAAATCAAGCAACAATGGACTACACGACCTGTAATAAATACTTGTAAGTGATGTTATCATAACTAAATTAATGTTGTTGCTGAATTTATAAAATAAGTTTCCATACGTAAAATAAAAAATAATCGAAAATAATTAAAATGGGACGGAGGGGGGGGATGGGACGGAGGGGGGGGAGTCATAATTCTATAAAGTGAAACAACTTCACACGAATTCTTGTATTTGAAAAATGAACTCATTAACTTAGTAAGAAACTGGATGATATACCACTGAAGACTGAAAAATGGGGACATTTGGAGTAAAAGGACTTAAAGTCGCGAAACATCTCTAATCATGTCTTATATACATATTGCTCCCCCCCTCCGTCCCCTCCCCCCCTCCGTCCCAAATTCATTATTTTCGATTATTTTTTATTTCACATATGGAAACTTATTTTATAAATTCAGCAACAACATTAATTTAGTTATGATAACAATTCAATAGTAAACTTACTCTTGAAAAAATAAATCTTCCAGATTTGTTGAATTTCCTAGCAGAAATTGCCTGCTCCCCCCCTCCGTCCCATATTCACGATCACCGGGCGTGTTCTAGGGATTTTTTCATCAAAATGGGACCCATATCTAGGTTTTTTTCTTCAAAAATGGGACCCACATCTATTGATTTTTTCAGCGAAAAAGTTACCCTCTTTAGCCGCACGTCCCTAGACTATATCCTATTTAGTCAGTCTGTTGGATACATACTAGGCACGTTTTACTTCCTGCGAAAGCTATTTGGATTTTGATATAATAGCTTTCCCACGGAGCATTTGGACAGCTCAATGATCGTGACCTTTGAAATCGAATTAAGTCGATCCGCGGCTTACTTTTGGTCTCTAACTGTGTCTTACATCAGTATCATCAATCCGTGTAAGTATTGGAGCGCTAGAGTACTTCTTTTTCGATCAAGACTTGTAATTGTTAGTCGAGTGAATCGTTTTACTGCCAAATTCCAATATGGCGGTTTCTGCTCGGACATTTTCGTAAATCTCCGGAGGTTGTCTGAACCTCACTAATTCTCAAAATTCATTTCGTTCGTTGCGTATCTCGCACCTAGCAAACCGCCATATTGGAAATAGGTCTGTAAAACTTTAACTCGATGAACAATTTACAAGTCTTGATCGAAAAAGAAGTACTCCAGCGCTCCAATACTTACACGGATTGATGATACTGATGTAAGACACAGTTAGAGACCAAAAGTAAGCCGCGGATCGACTTAATTCGATTTCAAAGGTCACTATTGATCAGCTGTTCACTTCTCCGTTTGAGAGCCATAAGTTTCAAAATCTAACATGGCTCTCGAAGTGAGTAAGGCACGTTCCCATATAGCCAATATATGGAAGTACCCCCCCCCCCCCGGGAAATTTCCCCACATGCTAGACTCTATCTGTTGCAAGACTTATGTCTGGCACAACCATCACCATGTCATTTAGTGTTTTTAAGTTCCGCAAGGATCCTGGAATGACTGTGGCAATGTTTTATATAAACTATAACTGTGGACATTCCTTTTGATTTTGATAATAAGGTGATATTTCTTACATCAGGTGATATATTCATCAAAATAATATATGAAACAGAAATATTTTCAATTCAATCCAATTCAATTTTCAGCTCAAATCCAATGTTTTTTCAAATAAAATATTAATGGGTTTTATATGTCTTTGCTTTATAATTTATTTACTTTGGGTGTAACCAATAGGTCCAAGCCCTGAAATAAAATGCATGATTTGGAATACTCAAGCCAAATATATATTTGCCATTAGCACTGCTTTATTTCAGTACAAAGTGTGTCCAAGGTAGATTTGTACTCCTACTATTGCTTTTTATACAAATTGGGATACCTGATATATTGATCAGTATTGTATAACAATGGTTGCTGGGTTTTTATAAAACATTCATTGAAATGAGATGTATTTAGTAGCCACAGTATTGTATGTGGTATCGATCAATACATTGTATGCACTACAACATAAGTTGTTAGCATAATAGCCATGATACAGTAAAACCTGTTTAAGTGGAACATTTTTAGTTTTACTTAAGTGTTGGGGGGGGGGGGGTTCTACTTAAATACAGGTTTGATTTACATTAAGTCATGGGTCACAGGACTAAGAAAGGTGTTCCATTTGTTGGACTCTTCTATTTTTACTGTTGACACTAATTAATCTATGCTTATGATCTGTACCATATCTATGTGTAATCAGCCAGACTGCCAGTACCGCACCATCCACCCTAGTCCCTCCTACCCCAAGCAGACATTTTTAGAATCCTTCCAGTTTCCCATAAAGGTGCAGGAATGGCTATATCGTCGTATAGCGATATATATCGTCTCTCAGAAGATATATTCGTGGAACTATCTCTTCCCATCCTCAAATCGAAATATATCCGATATATATCTCTGGGGTAGGATATATATCGAATATATCGTGTATATCGTGTATATCGTCATCCATAAATATAAGAACTTTTTAACAAACCTCTGTATTGAAGATATATATCTGATATATATCTTGAAGACAGGATATATATCGATTATAGCGTATATATCGTGTGTGTATCGCTCTATATCTAGGAAAGAGGATATATATCGTGTATATCGTTATCATGTGTATATCGCTCTATATCTTGGGAAGAGGATATATATCGAATATATCGTGTATATCGTCATCCATAAATATAAGAACTTTTTAACAAACTTCTGTATTGAAGATATATATCTGATATATATCTTGAAGACAGGATATATATCGATTATAGCGTATATATCGTGTGTGTATCGCTCTATATCTAGGAAAGAGGATATATATCGTGTATATCGTTATCATGTGTATATCGCTCTATATCTTGGGAAGAGGATATATATCGAATATATCGTGTATATCGTCATCCATAAATATAAGAACTTTTTAACAAACCTCTGTATTGAAGATATATATCCGATATATATCTTGAAGACAGGATATATATAGATTTTAGCCTATATATCGCGTGTGTATCGCTCTATATCTAGGAAAGAGGATATATATCGAATATATCGTGTATATCGTGCTTGATAAATATGGTATTCGATATATATCCTGTCTTCAAGATATATCGGATATATATTCCCAGTTTACAATTTTGTTAAATCAGTTCTTATATTTTTCAAACATGATATACATGATATATTCGATATATATCCTCTTTCCAAGATATAGAGCGATATACACACCATATTTACGATATATTCGATATATATCCTCTTTTCAAGATATTCAGGATTAGAGGGATGATATCAGGGATGATATTGATACCGGGTATATTACAATTTTTACATGTTTTCCAAAAAAATCATTTTCAAAATTTTTCAGTTTTTCACAAATTTTCATATTTTCAAAATTTTCATTTTTTCCAAATTTTTCATTTTTTCCAAAAAATCGTGTATATCTTCGTTATGTATCTTGATATCAAGACAAATATCAAGTTGGTATCTTTTTTCACAAATTAGATTTATTTCCAAAAATTTATTTTTTTCCAAAAATGAGTTTGTAAATGAAACCCCCTCATTGAACTACATATTAAAGGCTCTTTTTGTTTGAATTTTATCTAACATAACCTGTGAGGAAAATGTGTATTGATGGAAATGTAACTTGACTTCATTTCCAATGCCCACAAGGTTTCCCAATTTTTTCCTCAATCACAATAGGTCGAAAATTGGTGATAAACTTTATGAATTTGTGAAAATCGTCATTCCT